GAGTGTTTAAAATGTCATTTTCCCCACTTTCAAAATCGACATATTTGATTTTCATAATAAGAAACTCAATGCTTTCAAGGTTTCAATTGTTTATTTTTCTATTTTTCACCTAATGATTCTAATTGCACGCCTCAGACCAAAAATACCAAAGAAAGAAAGGATTCAAAAAATGTCTGACTTGAACCACTTGCTCTAGACATTTTTTTTGTTAAAGGATTTACTTGCTCTAGACATGACAATTATAAAGAATAAAAAATGTTTTTTGTTGTTGTAATAGTGGTATCCATTTCTCTTTTCTCAGGAACGAGAATAATTCTCGAAAGTTGTGTAGTCTTTAGTCTTTTGTCTTTACCGTACTAAAATAATATGATAAAAAAAAATGTAGAGGTTGACCGGAAGAAATTCGAAAATAATAATTGGAGATTGAAATCGAAAATTCCAATTGCATTCGAGCAATTGATCCAAAGAAGAAGATCGACGATGAACTCCAATTTGCAATCGAATCCTATATCATCGCAGCTCTTCACCTCCATAGACATGGGAACAAACTCTTTCAAACTTCTTATAGTCCACGCAGATCCTCCCGGAAGATCTTTCGTTCCCGTCGAGAGACTCAAAGAGCCAGTTGTATTGTCTCGCGAATCCGCAACCTTAATTTCGTCTCAATCTCAGGTTCGCGCGCTCCAGTCTCTACAGAAATTCAAAAGCTTGATCCTCTCGCACAAAGTCTCCTCTCGAAAGATGGTGTTGAATTGACGAAAATGAGAGACTTTATCCGTCACGCGATCGATGAGTCTCGGTTAGCAGATAAATTGAAGGAATCCGATGGCTTTGAGGTGGTCGTGGGATCTTCGGGAACCATACGAGCTATTGAGAATGCTCTTTTCAGTGGCTATGGAAGTGATTTGTGTCAATTCAATCTGGAGGGGTATAAGAGGGATTGGAGATTTGGTAGAAGAGAATTGAGCAGTGTTTTAGAGAAGCTATGCGGTGAAGGAGACGAAGAGCAGATCCGGAGAGAAGGATTTTTCAAGAGAAGGTCAGAGTTTATTGTTGCTGGAGCTGTATTGTTGGAGGAAATATTCAAGGCTCTGGGTATCGAGGAAATGGAGGTCTCAGAGTATGCATTAGCAGAGGGTGTGATTGCTGATTCTCTGGCCTTTGAGGGTTCGTATGATTTGAATGCCAATGCAAGGTGGCGATCAGTCATGAGGCTCGCCACCAGACTCAATGGGTAAAAGCGAATGAATCATGCGGTACACTGTGCCAACATTGCCAAGGTACATTCTTACCGCAACATTGTGAAATACTGATTGGCAGATGTTCACAAAGATTGTAGCTTTTCTTTTTCTTTATCATATCTTGAATAGGCTACTCTGCTCTGGGTACTTAGCGCAATTTTTTTACTTTGATCCTCCTTTTGTGTGTGTGGGTTAATGCGCATTGTGGTTTGAAATTCCATTTCAAGCTCTGCACAATTTCTTGCTTCAATAGATTTGATAGGACAGTGATTTTCCAGGAGATCTTTGTAGGTTTGAGGAAGTGCAGTGATTTAAGAGTCATCTTAGACGATAAGGATCTTGAGTATCTTGAAGCTGCTTGTTTCTTACACAATATCGGAATCATCACAGGGAAAAAGGGATATCATAAGCAGTCTTATCATATCATCAAGGTTTAGCTCATCTTTACTCTGTCAAAGTATGCTATTCTGAACACAGCGCTTTGTAAAGCTTGTTAACAAGAGTATTCAATATTTTCGTTTTAAAACTTTTTGTAGGTTTCCACTTTCCAGTGTCTGCTTTTAACCTCATTGTTATTAACAGTTTCTTCTTTCGTAGAATGGGGATCATCTCCATAGCTACACTGCGGAGGAAGTCGAGGTAACGTACCTCATCCTCTAGAAGGAGTTGCTTCAATACTGAATTAACTGTTTCTCTGATCACTATCATATGATTTGCAGCTTATAGCATTGCTTACGAGATACCAAAGAAAGAAGTTTCCAAAGCTTGATCGTGCACCTGCTAAGAACTTCACTGTGGAGGTACTACTGCGTCTCATATTTTCGGCTTAGCAAACCATGCTCAACCTCTTGATGTGATTGGCTGTTGTGATTGTTGCAGACAAGGCGAAAGTTCATAATTATGTGTTTGATTATACGATTATCTGTGATACTTCAACGAAGCGAGAGATTGGATCTCCAACAAGTTGAATTTCTTGAACCTTCTGAGAGCTTTAAACTTGTAAGTAAATCGTTTTTTTTTGCATTATGTTTCCAACCATTCCAATGTCGTAGTGACATGGAATTTCAGATCAGTACCTATTTATGTGACTTCATTTGTGCTATGAATTGATTTGTGTGCAGGTGCTGAAAGAACGAAACCAGGAACCCTTAGTGAATGGTTCTCATGATCAAGTAAAGAAAAAGCCGGACGCATTACTACTGGAGCAAGAAATTGCGCATTTCAAAAGGGTAAAACTTTTATTACTCAATAATTCATGATCGTTAATGTTTGTGGCCAAAATCTCCTCCATACATAACTTTCTGTTATTCTTTTGCCTTGAAGCTATTCAAAAAGGAAATAGTGGTTGTTTTTCCTTCCTGAAAATCATTCAGACGGGTTTCTCAGCTCTACGTGTCAGTACCATTAAACTGAAGCGTTCGCAGGTACAAGGTTTTTGTTTTTTTCCTGAATTAAAGATCAAAAGCAAGTTATATAGTTACAATCTCAATAACCATTTCCTCATTGCGCTAGAACTAAACCTCGGCATCTTTATCCAGAGATTCTTCACTGTGATATTTTCCTAGTCAGTTATCAATTTGAAACGTTGGGGAATATATTTGTATCTAGATAAGGACCTCTCTACTCTTGTATAAATACCTTTCTTGTACATATCCATTCATAAGTTATTTCAACTCTTTCTTTTAAATTGTGTTTGTAGATTTCGTTAATCCCTAAATGGAGCCTTATATGTAGAGGAACAGTTGGCTTTGAGACTCAATCCCCTGAGCCCTTGTTGCTGCAGATGCGCTGAGACAGAATCAATGGCAGAAACTCTCGGGATAAGGTCTGCTTTGATCAAAGCGTTGGATCTGGGTTGCATCTCCCTGATTCTTCAATCGGATTCTCTCACCCTCGTCCGTTTTACCCTCTATCGAGTGTAATTTTATCCATGGAGCTGCTACTTTTGTAACAGAATCTATAGCCAAATAGGCTCTAAGAGACCTAATAAATGAGAAGTTGTGTGTGTTTTATTGGGATGGTTTCTTCTTTTTTTTTAAAAAGTTACTACAATTAATTAAAATCTTTTACAGTAAACCAAACTAGGTAACAATTTGTTACAAATTCAGTAAAAAAAAAGTGTCACAACTTAAAACAAGATAGTGACGATCATGTGACTATAATTCAACCACTAACAATTTTGTAACGCTTCGGTGACTAAATTATGGTAATACAAATATATGACTTCTTTTTGTCACAGTTTGTAGCCTATTTGTAATGATATTTTCCGTCACAAATTGCGTCATTTATGTGATGTTTAAACAGTGTGACGAATTGTTACCGTTATCCATCGTTACAAAAGATTGTGACATTTTTGTGACGATTTTACTGTGATGCTTTATAATTCGTATCAATTTTGTCACAATAATTTGTTTGTAACGAAAAAAGATTGTAACAATAATCACTTTTTCTTACCACCCAATCGTGAATGTTTTTTCTATGGTTCAATAGTGCAGTCGTACTAACTATTTTATCATTTACTTTTAATAAGATTGTAGATTATATTTGGTAAAAAAAAGATTGATAATTATCTATGTGATTTGTAAAAGTTAATATTACGAAATTGAGAATGAGAGAGATGAAGAAGTTTACAACCAAATGAAAAATAAACGAAATATTATGTTATAAAAATATGTTTAAATTTTTTTAACATTAATTTAGAAATAATTTAGCAAAAGATGAGAAAAATTTATATTTTAAATATTTTCTAATACAGATTTCATAACTAAACCAAAAGAAAAACAAATATATTCTCTAACTTTTACTCTATGCGTTTCTAGAGATGACGTCAGATCCACGGGAGACAATGACGCGTAAGACTATGGCAAGCAAGATAAACGGGTTTCAGAATCAAATTCGTCCACTAGCCTAACTCAAATGACTGATACACATACCATCAGCTCAATATCACTAGTCTAAGTAACCATACGATCAATCTAACGATTTATCACATTCGATTCACAAACCGCATCACTATCTTACCCAAAGCGGGAATGGTAAAGGATATGAAAGACGAAAGAGGCTACTGGACTGATCAACCATAGTAACAGAGTAATTTAGAAACCAAAGGTCACAATTTTGGTTTAGCTTCAGAGAGATCAGGATTAGCGTCTTACCCAAAGCAGGAACGGATTTGTCGCTCAGGAAAGAGGCCTCTGATCAGGGGCAGATCTAGGTGGAGAGGAAGAGGGTCAGCTGACCCCTACTACTTTTATAAATAATTATTTTCACCCATATTTGTGATGTGTTTGATAGCTAATTTAGTTTAAATATTGTCAAATGACCCCCTTGTCTCAAGTTCAAATCTTCTCATATGACTCTTTTATACCATTTGTTTTATATATGACTCTGGTGCAAACTAATTCTAGCTCCGCCCCTGCCTCTAATGTAACTGATGTTCAAGATAGCAATTCGGAGCAGCTTCCTGCCTATACACATCTCTCTTAATATGATTTTCTATTAATAGATATATACTAAAAGATAAGTATACCCATATTAGAAAGAAAAAATGGAACAATCAATTTTAAACAAAATAAGTAACAAATTAGTAAAGATGTGATAGGTATATATTAGTTCTATCTAAGTTTTTTTGTTTATTTTGAATTACATTTTCCATAAAACTTAAGGTTTGGCTGTTATATTTTATTAGATTAATTTGATTATCTATCTAAGTTTTTTGTTTTTATCTTTTATACTTTCTTTCACCAAAATTTTCAGTTCAAAACAGACTATCGAAACTTATGTATCTGCACTTCATTAGTGTTTAGTCAGATGTTTAACAATACAAACTTAAACTCGACATACACATCAAAAAGTCGTTGATCTCAATTTACTTGATGCTTTCGTTGATAAATTGCGTGAGCTGCTCGACCCTGGATTGAATAGTCAATGCACGACACGTACTAGCTAGACAGATATATAATACTACATTTACTGAAAAGAAATGGTTAAACCTTTGAATAACTAAAATAGTTGAATATACTTTTTATTTTTTAAGACAGTTTCGTATGAAACTCAACTTAATAAGACACTTTCAAAATCGATATTTGATTTTCATAATAAGAAACTCAATGCTTTCAGAGTTTTTCAATTGGTTATTTTTCTATTTTTCACCTAATGATTCTAATTGCACGCCTCAGACCAACAAAACCAACATAAAAAAAAAACGATTCAAAAAATGTTTGACTTGAACCACTTGCTCTAGATATGATAATTATAGAGAATAAAAAATGGTTTTTTTTGTTGTTGTAATAATGGTAACCTTTTTTTTGTTGTTGTAATAATGGTAAGGGTGAATTAGCTATTTAACCATATTGGGGACTGAAATGAAGAATATAGCCATTACAAAATAATATAGAGTGACTAACCAAAACCAAATTTTCTGGTCAAGATTACCCTTGAAGCTATAGTCTATTTTACATAGATAAAAATAGAATAGTATTGGTTAATCCAAGAATTACAGTACATGTTTCTCAATTGAAATGAAACATTGTTCTCCAAAATAATAGTTACATAAATTGCTTTTCTGGTATAACAACAATTATCCTCAATCTCCATTCAATATGCTCTTTTGGATCATATTTCTTCTTAACCCACAATAATTCTCTACCAAAGAGAGAAATTCATGATCTTAACCTCTCAATCATAGTACTACACATAACAATATCTCTTTGTGACATTTCGTCGAACATTTTGTGGGTCTCAGTAATTATGCCACAAAAAGAATTTGGTCAAGTCCCCAACAGATTTCGTGATGAACATAAACGCTTAAGAATTGATAACATACAATTTTTGGAAGAAAAATAAATAGAATGGAGATTGAAGATGATAGACTGAGAAGAAGAAGTAGAGAGCGTAGCTGATGACAATATAGCAAAAGACATGAAAATGGTTTAGGGAAGAAAACAGAGTTTATGAAAAACATCGAAGATGCTCTTTCTGAAATGAGGGGTTCAAGATTGGAAGAGGTGTAACAGAATCAAATCTGATATAACTTACAGCGATTGATCTCACGTTTGTTGAGAATTGAGAAATCAATTGTTCAAATTTCAGAAGAGGAAGAAGAAGAAGAGAAGGATAATTTAGTCATTAGTACATATTATACAAAGAATACTCTAGCCACACATTAATATGGCTATTTGGTGAATTTTACTTTTTTTTATGGCTATCTGTTACAATTTCCCTAATGGTAACCATTTCTCTTTTCTCAGGAACGAGAATGATTCTCGAAAGTTGTCTTTACCATACTAAAATAATATGATAAACAAAATGTAGAGGTTGACCGGAAGAAATTCGTATAAATATAGAGGTTAGTATACGGATTATATATGTAACACAGCGTGTTTTGGCCTTTTTAGCGAATAACAGAAAAGATAATATGGAGATGCACAAACTTATGAAAACAATGGCTCACGTGTTACTATTGGTACTAGCGATTCATGCGCATTCCTCTGTCTCAGCCGTCCATCTCAACCACAATTCCATCCTAGTAGGAGTTGAGAATGATTCCCCGTTTTGGCGGCGGGAGCTTCGAAGCAGCGGTGGCGGTGGCGGTGGAGGTGGAGGTGGAGGAGGTCGTAGTGGTGGTGGTGGAGGCGGAAGCAGCGGTCGAGGCGGCAGCAGCGGTAAAGGAGGAGGTAGCGGTGGAGCTGGCAATGGCAAATCTTCTAGTAGCAGTGGCGAAGGCAACGGGGGAAATGGTAAAGGCGGTGGTACCGGTGGTGGCGGCCGTTTTGTAGGAAGCGGCGGTGACTGCCTCAAACACCGTGGTCTCACCGATATTCTATTATTTCTCGTCTTCGTTAGCTGTTTGATTGTTATACGTTAAAATGGCAATTAAATTTAAATGCTGTTTTGTTTATAATTAAATACTGTATATAGACTTGGTCTCAAGTGCTTGCTAAAGTTTGATTTGAGTTTTTTTTAAATATTCTTTTTGTATTAAAAAATCTAATAATACCAATTGCATTGCAAGAACAATAGATATCAACAAGTTGAGAATCAACGCAGAGATCATAGCACAAATATTTGACTCTGAAGCCAAATTTTTTTTATCTACTTCAATAGTCTACTTGAGAGAAAAAAACAGTAATTGGAGATTGAAATCGAAAATTCCAATTGCATTCGAGCAATTGATCCAAAGATTGAAGATCAACGATGAACTCCAATTTGCAATCGAATCCTACATCATCGCAGCTCTTCACCTCCATTGACATGGGGACAAACTCTTTCAAGCTTCTTATAGTCCACGCAGATCCTCCCGGAAGATCTTTCGTCCCCGTCGAGAGACTCAAAGAGCCAGTTGTATTGTCTCGCGAATCCGCAATCTCAATTTCGTCTCAGTCCCAGGTTCGCGCGCTCCAGTCTCTACAGAAATTCAAAAGCTTGATCCTCTCGCACAACGTCTCCTGCGACCGGATCCGGTGCGTCGCCACGGAAGCCCTGCGGCAGGCGGAGAATCAGAAACAGTTCGTGGAGACGGTGTACGAGGATCTCGGCCTCCGGGTCGATGTGCTCTCTGGTGAAGAGGAAGCGAGGCTGGTTTATCTAGGCGTGCTTCAGTTTCTACCGGTGTTTGAGAAATCTGTCCTGTGTATCGACATAGGAGGTGGTTCTACTGAATTCGTGGTGGGTAAGCGTGGTGATGTGAAGCTTGCTGTGTCTTTGAAGCTAGGTCATGTGAATTTGACACAAATGTTCATGAAAAATGGTGTTGAATTGACGAAAATGAGAGACTTTATCCGTCACGCGATTGATGAGTCTCGGTTAGCAGATAAATTGAAGGAATCCGATGGCTTTGAGGTGGTCGTGGGATCGTCGGGAACCATACGAGCTATTGAGAATGCTCTTTTCAGTGGCTATGGAACGGACTTGTATCAATTCAATCTGGAGGGGTATAAGAGGGATTGGAGATTTGGTAGAAGAGAATTGAGCGGTGTTGTAGAGAAGCTATGCAATGAAGGAGATGAAGAGCAGATCCGGAGAGAAGGATTTTTCAAGAGAAGGTCAGAGTTCATTGTTGCTGGAGCTGTATTGTTGGAGGAAATATTCAAGGCTCTGGGTATCGAGGAAATGGAGGTCTCAGAGTATGCATTAGCAGAAGGTGTGATTGCTGATTCTCTGGCCAAAGCTTTTGAGGGTTCGTATGATTTGAATGCCAATGCAAGGTGGCGATCAGTCATGAGGCTCGCCACGAGACTCAATGGGAAAAAGCGAATGAATCATGCGGTACATTGTGCCAACATCGCCAAGGTACACTCTAACCGCAACATTGTGAAATATTGATTGGCAGATGTTCATAAAGATTGTAGCTTTTCTTTGTCAAATCATCCTTTTGTGTGTGTGCTAATGCCTAATGCCCATTGTGGTTCGAAATTCAATTTCAAAAGCTCTGCACAATTTCTTGATTCAATAGATTTGATAGGACAGTAATTTTTCCAGGAAATCTTTGTAGGTTTGAGGAAGTGCAATGATTTTAGCGTCATCTTAGACGATAAGGATCTTGAGTATCTTGAAGCTGCTTGTTTCTTACACAATATCGGAATCATCACAGGGAAAAAGGGATATCATAAGCAGTCTTATCATATCATCAAGGTTTAGCTCATCATAACTCTGTCAAAATATGCTATTCTGAACACAGCGCTTTGTAAAGCTTGTTAACAAGAGTAATCAATATTTTCGTTTTAAATCTTCTTGTAGGTTTCCAGTGTCTGCTTTTTAACTTCAATTTTATTAATCGTTTCTTCTTTCGTAGAATGGGGATCATCTCCATAGCTACACTGTTGAGGAAGTCGAGGTAAGGTAGCTACTCCTCTAGAAGGAAGAACTTGTGTTGAATTTACTATTTCTCTGAGTATGATCATATGAATTGTAGCTTATAGCAATGCTTACGAGATACCAAAGAAAGAAGTTTCCCAAGCTTGATCGTGCACCTGTTAAGAACTTCACTGTGGAGGTACTAGTGCTGTCTCATATTTTGAGCTTAGCAAACCAGGCTCAACCTCTTGATGTGGTTGGCTGTTGTGATTGTTGCAGACAAGGCGAAAGTTCATAATTATGTGTTTGATTATACGATTATCTGTTATACTTCAACGAAGCGAGAAATTGGATCTCCAAGAAGTTGAATTTCTTGAACCTTCTGAGAGCTTTAAACTTGTAAGTAAATCGTTTTTGGCATTATGTTTCCAACCATTCCAATGTCGTAGTGACATGGAATTTCAGATCACTACCTATTTATGTGTCTTCATTGTGCTATGATTTGTTTTGAGTGCAGGTGCTTAAAGAACGAAACCAGGAACCCTTAGTGAATGGTTCTCATGATCAAGTAAAGAAAAAGCCGGATGCATTACTACTGGAGCAAGAAATTGCGCATTTCAAAAGGGTAAATTTTTTATTACTCAATCATTCATGATCTTTGATGTTTGTGGCCAAAGTCTCCTTATGTATTCTTTTGCCTTGAACGCAACAGCTATTCAAAAAGGAAATGTTGGTTGTTTTTCCTTCCTGAAAATCAATCAGACGTGTTTCTTAGCTCTACATGTCATCGCTGTTACACTGAAGCTCTCCCAGGTACGAGGATTTTATTTCCCTGCATGAAAGATCAAAGTTATAAAATTACAATCATTAACCATTTCCTCATTGCGCGAGAACTAAACTTCGGCATCTTTATCCAGAGAGTTCTTCGTTGTGATATTTCTCCCTGGAGTTTTTAGTCCATTGCAGGCAGTCCAATTCTTCAAGTGGAGGTGTTCTTTAGTGTTTTCATCAGTCAGTTATTAAACCAGAAATTGATGATCAAACTGTAATTTGTCTTGAACGACCTCAGAGTGTGAGCAAAAGAGTCTTGAGTGTGTCCGCACCTACAAACGTCGTCGTTAACCTCTGTAAAATTTGTTGCTGTTACTCGATTGATTCTACTGGTGTTACACCGGATGCTTAACAAAATAAATAAAAAAAGTGTGATTTCTACTGGTCGGTCTATGTATATTTCCATTATTGTTTATTTTCGTTTGGTTTTACAAACAAACAACAACAATGTGTGATTTCTTCCTTTAAATACTACTTTCCCCTCAATTTCAAAATCAAGCGTACAAATTAGAATTAAACCGTAACAAACCGTAAAATTTGGAGGCAAAGAAAGGCCTTAGCTTGCTTTATTCAAAACGGCCACTTTGAGACAAAACTAGAGACAGCGGATGAGATCAGACGTTTGAATGGAGATTGAGCGGAAGCTGCTGCGTCTTCTCCACGGCCACAGTACCCGAACCCGTTTACCCGAAATCCACGCCCATCTCCTCCGTCATTTCCTTCATGGTTCCAATCTCCTTATCGCCCACTTCATCTCCATCTGCGGTTCCCTCCGTAACTCTGATTACGCTTCCCGCGTCTTCGCTCACATCCAAAACCCAAACGTCCTCGTCTTCAACGCCATCATCAAATGCTACTCCCTCGTCGGTCCTCCTCTACAGTCTCTCTCTTTCTTCTCTTCCATGAAATCCCGCGGCATTTGGGCTGACGAGTATACCTACGCGCCTCTGCTCAAATCATGTGCGTCTCTTCCTGATTTGCGGTTCGGGAAATGCGTTCACGGCGAGGTTATCAGAACCGGGCTTCACCGGCTTGGCTCGATACGGATTGGTGTGGTGGAGCTCTACGCGACGAGTGGGAGAATGGGTGATGCTCAGAGAGTGTTCGACGAAATGCCTGAGAGAAACGTCGTCGTTTGGAACCTGATGATTCGAGGGTTCTGCGATTCCGGTGACGTCGAAAGAGGTCTTGGTTTGTTCCGGAAGATGAGCGAGAGGAGCGTCGTGACGTGGAATTCGATGATTTCGAGCTTATCCAAATGTGGAAGAGACCGTGAAGCTCTGGAGCTTTTCTGCGAAATGATTGATCAAGGCTTCGATCCTGACGAGGCCACTGTGGTCACGGTCTTACCAATCTCTGCATCTCTCGGAGTTTTGGATACCGGAAAATGGATTCACTCCACCGCGGAATCAAAGGGTTTGGTTAAAGACTTCATCACCGTAGGCAACGCTCTGGTGGATTTCTACTGCAAAAGCGGAGACTTGGAGACAGCGACATCAATATTCAGGAAAATGCAGCGGAGAAACGTCGTGACATGGAACACGATGATATCGGGATCGGCGGTGAACGGAAAGGGAGAGTTCGGGATTGACTTGTTTGATTCGATGATCGAGGAAGAGGAAGTAGCTCCAAACGAAGCCACATTTGTAGGGGTCTTGGCCTGCTGCTCGTACACAGGTAAGGTGGAGAAAGGAGAGGAATTGTTTTGTTTGATGACGGAGAGATTCGAACTTGAGCCGAGCATTGAGCATTACGGTGCGATGGTTGATCTGATGAGTAGGAGCGGGCGGATCAGAGAGGCGTTTGAGTTTGTCAAAACTATGCCAGTAGAGGCTAATGCAGCAATGTGGGGGTCTCTGCTTAGTGCGTGTCGCAGTCACGGAGATGTGAAGCTAGCAGAGGTTGCAGCCTTGGAGTTAGTGAGGATTGAGCCAGGGAATTCGGGGAATTATGTTCTGTTGTCTAATTTGTATGCAGAGGAAGGGAGATGGGAAGATGTAGAGAAGGTAAGAGCGTTGATGAAGAAGAAATCGCTTAGGAAACCTTCAGGCCAAAGCACCATTTGCGATGTATCGTTGTGATGTTTTTGTTTACAGAATTGAATAGGACATGATAATGATCACTGCAAAATCAGAATGATAACTTTTTCTCGTGTGTGCTCCAATAGTACAATGAGAATTGTAATCAATCGACATAGTATTAAAACTTAGAGGAAACTACAAGAGAGAAAGAGAGAAAGTTTACGTTTTTTCAAAGAGACGAATGAAATAGGAAGCAACAAAATGCTTTGTTTGGTTTTCTACTTATTTGATGTATTGAGAAAGCCATTTAAAGCCCTCACCATATCCCATTTTGCGGACGATGCTGCACATGAAGACCTCAAGTGGACGAACGCCACTCTCTCCAAGACTCACCGTGCCTTTACCGGTTGTGAAATTGGTGAGACCCAAGTGATACCTTAACTCATCTTCTGAGGCTGCATAAGGAATATCAATCTTGTTCCCAAGTATAAGAAAGGGGACAGTTGCTAAGGCTTCATCTGATAGAAGAGCGTCTAGCTCTCTTTTTGACTCCCCAAATCTCTCCTTGTCGTAAGCATCCACTAGGTACACAACAGCATCAACCTTTACACACACACACACACAAAAGCAATTTCTATCAATCAGCAAAGATAGCTTCACTCACACATACATAGATATCTACTTCCAACAATAACCAATCAGTTTAGCTACAAATTTCTCAGAACTAAACAATTCTCAGCATTCAAGATTCTGTTATGTTGCAGCATAAGCAAAGTTATATCATTTTTGGCATGGAAGTAACTCTACCTTGGCATAGTAGTCTTTCCAGACCCTACGAGCAATCTGATGGCCTCCCAAGTCAAAGGCCTTGAACTTGATTCTGCCAATGCTCAGTTCCTCAGACGTGGGATGCTGTGTTGGCTGGTGCTGAACTAGTCTCTGCAACAACATCAAACCACAACAAAATCGAGATTAAGCATGTTTAATTCGCCTTTTAATTCCAATTTATTGTAGATGATAATACAATTTGAGCACGAAAACGAGGCGAAGAGAGATAAACACTATCAAAGAGAGTGACAAAAGGAAATAGAATCTACAGGAGGAGGAGCCAAGAAAAATGACCTCGTCTTTGAGCATGTGAAGCAAGGTGGTCTTTCCTGCATTGTCAAGACCTAGGAACAAGATCTTCGCGTCTTTCTGCCACAAACCTAACGATGCCAGGATTCCATAGAACCAATCGAACAAAAACATGGCGTCGTCTTCCTCAGATCTGACGGAAACACAATAAGAAATAACACGAGGAATACCAAAACTTTAACGATCTTCGATTCAACTATCAGAGATCGAAGCTCAAACGGACGGCCACAAAAGAAGTACTGTACGAGAACGAAAAAATCAAAAATCAAGCGACAGAAAGAGAGATGATGAACCAAAATCAAGTAAAAAGGAGAAATGATCATTATGTAACATTTATACGAAAAGGAAAAAAGTGCCAAAAAAACACGTGGATGATTAGGAGCTGGTGAATTGACGTGGAGTTTTGCGATTGGTTGACATCAGTGTCCTTGACGTAATTCGAAACAACATAGACCGTCCGATTCAATAATAAAAGGTTGCGATCTTTTAAATTCGTTTATGTTTTGCACCTTTCAGATTTTCCCCTGCTGGGTTGGTGAGAGAACTAAAAATTGAAGGCTGATGGCACGTGGCAATAAATAATGGCAGAAGAGTCTATTTCGCGATCCCAAACAAAGAATTGACAATTTTGTTGATTGTGAAATAAGTGAATCCGGAAATGAATGTTCAGATGATTAAACGAGACTAAATTCATGTTACTTATATTAAAAATCCTTCGATTAAACTTGAAATTTTACATTCTCCCCTCGTTCTTAAAGATGAAACATACTATTAAGGAAGACGAAAGCAACCAAAATTATTGAGATCTCTCAAGCTCGTTCACCTCTGATTCTTCTAGCGAGCTGGATGTCCTTGGGCATAATCGTGACTCTCTTGGCGTGAATAGCGCAGAGATTGGTGTCTTCGAAGAGTCCAACGAGGTAAGCCTCAGCAGCTTCCTGGAGAGCGGCGACGGCACTGCTCTGGAAACGGAGATCCGTCTTGAAGTCCTGAGCGATCTCTCTCACAAGCCTCTGGAATGGGAGCTTGCGGATCAGAAGCTCAGTGCTCTTCTGGTACTTCCTGATTTCCCTTAGCGCCACCGTTCCTGGTCTGAATCTGTGCGGCTTCTTCACTCCTCCGGTCGCCGGGGCTGATTTCCTCGCCGCTTTTGTCGCCAGCTGCTTCCTCGGAGCCTTGCCACCGGTCGATTTCCTAGCCGTCTGCTTGGTACGAGCCATTGCGAATGAGAAATGAGAAGAACTGTTTTAATTTATCGAGATATCAATGGAAGAAGATTGATTGAAATTTGAGAGATCTGATATGTGATTTTGTAACGACAGAGAAAGGGGGATATTTATCGTCTGGGGGAATTATCAGGAAGCGGGAAAATATATTTCGCCTTCATTGTTTTTAGCGGCACTAAATCTGGATCGTTTATATTTTTTCAATCGACGGACATGAGGGGGCTGATTTCATGATCCGCGTGAAATCCTTACAGCCGTAGATTATTATATCGGACGGACATATTTCACTCTCTTCTAATGCCGATCCATGTGAAAGTGCATAGACCAATAGAAAATGACCTATTTCAAAGACATTTATGCCCTCTAATTTTCCTATCAAACCTGCTTAGGCCCACTAGGGTGAAAAATCAAATCAGTTTGTAAAATTGAGTTTCAAACTTTCAAAATAACGAGGGAAACATGGTACGCATGTAAACAATAAATACGTTCTTCACCTGGAAGTCAATCCAGTACAAGTGTATAACCATGTGGAAATTGATTGTGAAGTTAAGAGTCTTAAACATTCTACATTTCTAGCTAGCAGAATTGTTCAATAATACTAAAATCAAAATTTGGCGGACTTTGATAACTAGAGAAAGAAATGTAGGTGCAAAATGTGTTGATGTTTCATTCATCATCATTCATTGTTATCCCCCTCCCAAACATTTTGCCCCCTTTTGATTTGCTAAAGAACTTGTTCTATCTCCAACATAACTAGATGCTAAAATGTTTCAAAAGACGGGATAAAAACGAGAAACAAACAAAAAAGACTCGAAAACTTTGGTCTTCAATCTTCAACCTCCTTCGCTTACAGCTCATCCTGCAACCCAAATCACCAAATATAAACATCAACTTACTCTCAATCAAAACAAGAAACATGAATGAGTCAAATTCTTCAAAGCGAAACTGTGGCAAGTTTTTGTTTGGCTTAACATACATGAGCAGGGGCGTCTTTCTCTGGGGTTTCCTCCTCGGTCTTAGATTCGTTATCAGATTCATCTCCATCATCTTCCTCTGCTTCTTCTTCTTCAGCCTGGAAACAATTCATACACAATGATATCAGGACATTTGACTGAAAACAAACAAGACCCTGAAATCTTGATAAACCACAACAATTGACTTACATCAGATTCAGCAGATTCCGTAGGAGCGTCCTTGGATTCCTGTGACAACATAGAAAAAGATGATTGTCGTCTCAGATTATTATCATTTCCAAACTAACTCAAATCATTTGGTTTGTATTAACACCTCAAAGTCCAAACTAACAATGTTTTCAATTCGGTTTTGTCTTTAGAGATTCTCAAGAATTTTCATAACTAGTTAGGAGAGGTATGTAGTTGAGAAAGTGTTACCTCGTCATCTTTCTTCTTCTCAATCTCATCGAAAGCTGCTTTCTCCGCCTGCAATACGAGATTAGATTGACTATTCTGATCAGTAACCAGAAACAAAGTGAGTTGCGTTCATGGAGATGGTATTTTAAACACACGTACATCCTTGAGCTTGCCCCATGTTTCCTCTGCCAACTTCTTGGCGTAGTCTGGGTCATCGCAGATCAAGACATTGTCGAACAATGATCCTGATTTCACCTGAAATAGATTGATATGTGTTTAGATGGGAGTCATGGGAGATCTTAGGAGAGTTCACAGCAACTAGATCTATTACCTGCCACAATTCGACTCCAACATACTTCAGCTTGGGGAAGACATAGAGCTCTGGGTCATCCTTGAAGTCTGCATCAAGCGAGTTAAATTAACCACAGTAATTGTTGGGGAGCTAAAGTGTATGCAAGTATATAAAAACTGTACGTTGAGTACTACAGTTATATCCATACGAAGATGATATAAAAGTGTCATTTAAGCTGAACAAAACACATATTTCATGTTAAGAAATTATAATGTGAACTTATGAAACTCTAATTAATTAGGTTAGACCACTGGGTTTAAAACACAGAGACACCTTTCAACCTCTTGGAAGAAAGGAATTGCTTCAGCATTTGAGTTTTAGGAACACTTAAATAGCCATCTACTTAGGTAGAGATATGCAGGCACAGCACAAACCATTAAACAATAACGAACAGAAGTAGCTTTTGGCTTCAGAACTACAAGCTACACGTAAATTATGCAACATGAAATATGTAAAATGGAAATGCAAGGCCAGAGAGTAGTAATGTACCAGGGTTGTCAATCAATGGAGCCTCCCACTTGCCCTTGTAGTTGGGGTTCTTGATTTTCTGCAGAAAAATATGACAACCTTTGAGAGAAAGAAAAAAGTAGACATGGTCGTATACTTTTAGACAGGGAGAAAGACGAACCTTGGGCTTCCATTCACCCACGTAGTCAGGGTTGGGAATGGTCGGGACAGTCCACTCACCATCTTCTTCTTCATCCCAGTCCTCAGGCTAAGAGAAAGGACAAAAAGAAATTTCAGCAAATAACAGAACACCGGAAGAGATATTACGTTTTGAATCAACTGTAGACAAGGTAGAAGGAACCTTCTTCGCATCGCTATCTGGGATCTCCTTTGGGATATCATCGTGTCCTTCAGGTTTCTTGTCTTCAGGGTCAGTAATGTACTCTTGCTCGTCCCAGTCCTCAGGCTGTAAAAAAAAACAGAGGCTCAGTTTTATGATGGATGGTATGACAGGTATAATCAACATACAGTTTAGTCTAGTAGTCCATAAGTCATCAAATACCTTAGTGGCTCTGGGGTCCTTGATCTTCATGGGTGCGAGAAGATCCCAGTCAGAGTAGAGGCTGCCAGTTTGCTTCTCAACATTGTCAATGAGAATGCTGTAAGTAGCATCTGGGCGGAGGATGAATGTGTACACATGGGTGAGCTGGTCAGTCTCACACGGAACATCCTTCTTGATCAGGTGGTTGGCTTCCTTGTAGGTAAGGATAGCATGCACCTTCTTCGTCTGGTAGCCACAGATATCGGGACCAAACATGATGCTGCAGGTACAAAGAAGATGCGTGTTATTTTGAAGTATTAATGTAAGTTGAGATGATTATATAGAAATAGAGACGAGATAGGAAATGTATACCTGTATGGGGTGTCTCCACCAAATTTCTTCTGGTCAACATCACCACTGAGCAGCTTCATGTAGCCACCACCACAGTCAAGCTTTTGCTCGTGCTTGACTGAGAATTGGAAGACTAAGGTTTTGTCCTTGTTACTGAATTCAGAAAACTCAGCTGAAATGGCGTAGAATCTGTAGTCCTCACTGGTCTGGATACCTGCAAGACAATGATAGTTGCAACAAAGCATTAACATTAAAAAACCAATAAATCATGATTCATGAGTCCATAACTAGCTCTGAAGGTTTAATCATATTCATACCTTTATCGTTAGCATCACCAGACCAATTTCCCGCAGTGTGCTTCCACTCCCCAGCAGCCTTGTCATCTTTCTTCCACTCAGACTTGACCCATCTGCTCTCCCATCCATCTTTAGAAACGAAGACAAAAAAGGTATTATATTAAGCTCAGAACATTGAGACGGAATCCAACATAAGGGAAACGAATACTACAAACGAAAATTTCTTCCACATTTTACCAAAAAAAGAAAGAACAAAAATTCTTCCACATGATAGCGCAAATGAAAAGTGAAAACTATCATCAATCGTTATCATCAACCAAAAGCTGGCGGCCATTTCATGCGATCTCCAATTGGAATTTCGAGTTAACGAAATTCAGAAAAAAACAGAATCAACAAATTCATAGATCCATGATAATCCTGATCAAACATTTTCAAATGATCTTATCCGATGAAATCGAGAATATCGTTGCGTGATCGAAAATGGATCCATTACTCGCAGCATTATCACATTTCAGCTCAAACTTATGATGATATCGCAAGCAGATTAAAAACAAACACATCACTGAATCGATAAAGATGAGATGTAGAAAAGAGAGAAAGAGAGAAAAGTAGGTACCATCAAAGCGCTCCTCGAAGATGACTTTGGCGGAAGCGATCGCGAGAAGGCCGATAAGAATCAAAGAGACGAGGCTAGGGATTAATTTCGCCATTGCTAATACTCAGATCGAAGCTTCCCCGTGAGATCAGAAGATGATGAACAATACCTGGACTGGGTATATATACCAATCTACGAGAAGCTGATGCAAGTGAAGGAAGCTCTCAGTCTCATGGATTATAGCCTTTCGCCACGTTGTAAGTCTGCAGCCACGTGATCCAATCAATAATTGACACGTCATACACGTTGGTCATTACGAATGACATGGCGCTATAGTATTGGACAGTAACGGCGAAAGAAAGGTTAGTATTAATAAGCCTTTTAGCCAGAGATTTACACGTGGTTAATTATTAGCGGTCGGTGAAAAATACTAAAAGAAGTGTGCTTTTCTCGTGGGGGAAAGAGAAACAAAAGAAGCAAATCTCTCGGGTGTTTTCGTAAAAAACACCGCTTGGTTTGTTAGATTGAAACGTGATCATCACCGTTGGATTTCAGCTGATTTTCAGCTACAACAAACTCTAAAAGCGTGGGCCGAGAAATTTGGGCTGATAACTTTTACCTTTTTATCTTTGCGTTGATGGTTTCTTCGTGTGAAGAATTAGCGTACAAGCTACTCAAAAATTGACTTTCATCAATTAATAATGACAAATGACCCCATAAAAGTAAAGTTTTATTACAAAAATATTTGAACTTCTTTTAGCACCAAAACTGATGAAAAAACGTTAACACTTCAAATAAAGAGGAGGTTCTCATTATCTAATATGTTGTGCTATGTTAATTGTGAATGTCCTGGAAGTTTAGCTACACCTCTAACATCCATCAATTTTCGAAATCTCTGAGCATCTGTAAATCTCCCACTACCACAAAAAACGTTAGAAATAAGCACATAATCTCCTCCATGGCCTTTCTCCAACTCCATTAGCTTCCCACCAACCCTCTCAGCCATCTCAGGATCATCATAATCGCGACAAGCTCCAAGCAGCATTCTCCAAACCACAGCCTTTTGGTCAATCGGAATCTCCAAAGCAATCTTCTCTGCTTCAGCTAATCTTCCTTTCCTTCTCAGCATATCTACTAAACATCCATAGTGCTTCACATCCGGTGTGATCTTGTACTTGCTCACCATCTTGTCAAAAAACTCAAGAAACTCTTCCTCTGCTAAGCCTCCATGGCTACAAGCGTTCAAAACACTGATCATCGTCACTCTGTTCGGCTTCAACCCGAATCTCTCCATGTCTTTGAACACACTAACCGCTTCTCTCCCCATCCCGTGCATTGCAAACGCCGAGATCATCGTCGTCCATGACACGAGATTCTTTCTTCCGTTTGGAATCTCCAGGAAAAACCTCAACGCGCTTTGGATACACCCACATTTCGCGTAAGCGTCGATGAGAGAGTTTGTCACACGGATGTCAGATTTCACAAACCCTCTCTTCGCAACGTAACCATGAACCGAGTCGCACATTCTTTGATCTCCGAAGCTCCAAACAGCTGGAAGAATCGCGAGAATGGTGATCTCGTTGGGCTTGATTGCGTCACAAGCAACCATTCTCGAGAACAAGAGTATAGCTTCCTTTGGTTTGTTTACTCGTGCGTACCCGTCAATGAGAGTGGTCCAAGACACCACCGTTCGATTCGGCATCTTCTCGAGAAAGCTCAGAGCTTTTTCGAACTCTCCGAGATTAGTCAGGCCGGTGATCATCACATTCCAAGTTACAGGACTTCTCTCAGGCATTTCATCGAACACTTTATAAGCATCATCAATCGTGTTTCCAGCGGCAAGATAAAGACCAATCAAAGCTGTCTGCACGTGGACTTGAATTCCAAAACCCAGTTTTACCGTCAAGCCATGGATTCCGATTCCTAAGAGTAGATACGGGAATCGCGGATTCGAAGTCGCTTTCAGGAGAAAGAGATAAGTGAAGCTACCAAAAGGAGGGAGTCTCTGGGTCTGTTGGTGATCAGAGAGGAAATGGAGCTGCTGGAGTTGGTCGTAGAGGAAGTAAGCATGAAGCGGAGATTCGCTCAGAGAATAGCATCGAAGCAGAGGATTGAATAGGAAAAGTGTATCAGAGTTTTGCTTCGGATGAAGGAGAAGAAGCCCAGTAGTGGTGAAGTGAGAGTGGAGCTGGTGGATGATTCTCGGGTTCGATTCATTTTTGCGCAGAAGAGAGTGAAGGTGTTGAATCGTGATGTTGTTCTCACGATGCTTAACCTGAGAAAGCAAAGTCGAACAAGAAGAAGAATGCTTGATGGTGTAAGAGCGAAGAGCGATGGGTCTACGTGAAGCAAACAAGAACATAATTTGTCTCACAACTCCAGCAAGAACTTATTTTGAGAAAGCAATATATAGCATTGACATCTGGAGCCATAAAAATTAGGCCACCGATTATTTATTGAATTTAATCTCTTACTCAGAAGAATTACATGAAATCCTGTAAAGATAACAATCCTGTTAGTGTTTATAAATCATCATCATTCGTTTGGCTTGGCTGCTCCAGGATTTCTGCCAAACTGGATTATCATTGGTTTTCCTTTGAACACAAAGCCATTTACAAGATTCTGCAAAATCACAAAGAACAACACATCAGTCACTTTCCTCCGTCTGTGGGTAAACTAAATAAACACGTGTGTCTGATCTTCAAGCACAAAATGCTTGTCAATGGTATAAACATCTTATAAATAGTGTTCAGACTGAAATCCACATTTGAACAGAGCAAGAAGGTGTCAGGGATTATAACCAGAGAACGATGTGCCACTTCAACAGATGGAAATGTCAAAAAAGCTTGCCCTCTCATCCTCCCTTCCTGTAATATCATTAATTCTCACATTAAAATCATAGTCGAAAAACAAGAAGACTGATAATAATCCAAGCCAAGTTCCATTAATGACACCTGCATCAGCCTCACGCCAAGACTGGATTTAGCTGCTTCGATGCTTCCAAATTGTGACCCTACATCAGTGCCACAATATTTAGCTATGAATTGACTTGCAGAAAGATAACTCGTAAGTTAACGACTCTAGATTTTTGATTTAACTAACAGAGCTACATCTTACCAAATATGTAATAGAAATCATCAACAGTAACATCTTTGGCAAGGTTTTTGATATACAGCACAAGCGATGGATTCCCAGCTGTGTAGTTCTGCACACAACAAAACCAAAAACCATTTTCCTCTCAGTGAATATGTTTTTCAAAAATATGATAACCTGATCCTAATATCCATACCTTGAACATAGGCAGTGAAAGAATATCATGTGGAGACAACCTTCCTTTCTCCAACTCCTCTAAACTCGCAAAGGGTTTCAAATCTGAACTTTCTTCCATGATCTCTTCTGCAGGGCCATCATTCTCAACATCCTTTCTGTTTTCGTCTTGACCAACTTTTGGCGCAATCTTGATCTAGCGGACCTTACAAATATCAGCACAAATACACAGCATAATAAATTGAAAGGTAACTATGGACATTAGGATACCTGCATAACATGTTTATTCTTTCTTATTCGAGGGATCTCCTTTGGGGTCAAGGAGGAGGGCTTCACTCCAACAGTCTCATGTGTCACATCCTTGTCCGTACCAGGACCAACAGCAGTTTCATGCCTAGCACGCTTCCTTCCGGATTTTGATTTACCTGTATCCTAAACATAATGTCATCACAATTCTTACCCCGAGTACTCAATAACAATGAAATATAAAGAGCAGAGAAAACACTAATAACTTCCAAGGACATATTTACATTGATTATCACACAGGTTCACACACACAAAAATACGAGAAAGAAACAACCAAAATGAGCTTAGCATGAAACTATTTGACTACATTCATAAACTGCATGACGAGTCATACCTCATCAGATTCCATCTCTGACTCGCTACTAGATGGATGCTCCAACTCAGTTGGTTGGGGAGCTGCTTTAGGTAGAGGTGGTATGGGCAGGGCCAGACGAAAAGGAGGTGGAAGATTCATTTTGTTCATCAGATGCAACACCTGTGATCAAGAGCTTTATGATTAAACTTTCTTGTACTTTTCTGCACTCCACTATATAGTTCATATCCACAGATCATAAGTTATATCCACCGGTTATACACAGTGACAGTAAAGCTAACCTGGGTGTATAACGGTGGGACAGCGATAAGGGCATTAGTAATGTTGGCTAGTATATTTGCATCGGGTGGTGGGTAAGCATATCTGCAAAATGAAATATGAATCCGATCAAACATAGAAACATCTGAAGTTGGCAAAATGATTAGAAGAATTCTGATTCTCTTGGACTGTTCTTGTGTCTTGATATAGTGTGGTCTTTGAATATGTGGTACTCAATGGAAACATAACTTAAAAGAGAATGAGCAGCAAAACTTACTGAAGGTGAGGAGGAAACGGATAGTTGATGCCGAGTTTCGGAGCTATAGGTTCACCAGCAAGTATCTGCCCTGAGTTTGAATCATTGCTGCTGCTGCTAACTGTAGAGAATGAGTAGTGACCATCTTTGGAAGATTCTTCATTTTGCCGAGACTTCTTGTTCTCAACAGGTTTATTGGCTCTCTGTACTTGTAGAACCTTACCAAGAAACCTCAGCCTGCCCAATCATAAGGTGATAAAAATAGCTCAATCATAGGAAAGTATGAATCTGGGAGTGTTAACGAAAGATGGGTAATTTTCAGTGGAAGAAACTGGTACCCGTTTAACTGGCGATATGCTTGAGAAGCAAAAGCTTCATTCTTGAAATCCACAAATGCAGCGTTCCTCAATCTGTGGCAAAGATTTATATGTCAAGTTTAGGAGAATTTGGCATTCAATTTCTTCTTCTCGAGTAGAGAAGAGTGTTTTGCATCTTTCAGCTCCCAGTATCTTCTACAGGAATCCCTAATTTCCTAAACCTTCTAAGTAATTTTAATTTTCAACTAAACCAAAACACAAAAGTTCTGGATTGTTTACCTTCCACCAGAAGAGCAAGGACGAACTGTAGAAGCTCCGTATTGAGAAAATAGCCGAGAGACGATATCATGAGGAATTCCATCGGGAAGATGACGAACTAGAAGAGTTATCCCCAGTGGCTCTGCGACCTGAGATTCAAATTGCGTCGTCGGGAGGTTCACGATAGGCTCGGATGTCGTAGGTGCTGCCATTAGAGCTCGAAACAGCGAACTGGGGCTCACTGTTATTCTTTCCCCCAGTTTTTTTGTGGTTTTCTTTAATAAATTGTTTTGTGCGACTTAACCGGATTGATCCAGCAGGCCAGAAAGAATGGGTTGCGGCTCATCTTGATCAAAGTAAAGGATGGTCAGCCACACCAATTCTTTTTCTGGTAAAGTTGAACCGAATAGAAATAGAGGAATGAAATTGAGTTTCGGTTATACTAGTAATAAAAAAGACAAAATAGATATGAACATATCTTTACGAAAAATGCAAAATGTTTCATTGTGATATATTTGGTTTAAATATTCCCCATTGTGTGAAATTCAGTATGTAAAATTATACTTACCACAGATGCATAATGTTTCTGTTATTATGAAATGATAGACGACAGATGGAATTTGTTTAAATTTTGAGGTTCACCATGTGATTCAATATTTTATTGATATAGAGGAAATTTGAAAGCATTGTGATTAAAAAGTAATACATGAATGTGAAGCTGCAACAGTTATTACGATCATACAACACAGATCAATTGAAGTTGAGATGATCAATCATCCTCTGTTACGAGCTGATCACAGAGACATATCATAACAAAGATGATGAAACGATTACAATGAGAACCATTACCGGTATGCTGTGGTTAACCACTGTATCAGCATTTTCAAGCTTCTCGTGGATGTCAGCCCGCATTTGTGTATTTTCGCTTCTGCAACAACAAAGATCTCAAATTCATGATTCTAATATTATCCAGCAGTATGTATGTACTCAATCCTAAGTTTGACACTAACCTCGTATTCAACTCATCGTTAGGAATATCTGCATTTTGAAGATCTTGCTCGGAAAGTTGATTGAGAGGCATGTCGGAATTGATCTTGGAGGTGTTACTTGAGAAGGCTTTGTGAGCTGAATCAGTATGAATGGTCTCCATAACTGAACCGAAGAAATTTGTGACTGGCACCTGAATACCATAACAAGCAAACTTGGAGAATGAGTAATTAACCAAATCTCGAGGCAGACATTGTTTATCGAAAATGGAAAGGAAAAATATCGGAAAGGTGATCTTCATTCTGATCATGTAATGGTGCACTTATGGACAACAAACTCAGACTGCTCAGTCCTAATGTTATGTAACAATCAACTAGAACCGAGGTAACTTAGTTGTGAGCTTGTGATTGGTCACAACACAATAGTAATTTAAGCTGACATAAAGTTAAAACGTGACATTTCAGAATCAGTTTCCTCCTTACCTCCACCAGATTTGGTTGGTAAAGATCAGTCCGGTAGTAAGCAGTAGACGTTAGCTGGCTCGGATCGTAGGACCTAAACAAACTGCACAACACCAAGGAGGTGGATAAATGTTTGTAGCTCAGACAGTTCATCTTAAAAAGGCGTATAAATTATATCAATGATCGGTTTTAGCAGAATGTTGGTGACCAGAGTTGCATAGTGATTGAACCTGCTAAGTGATGCATTGTCGTAGATATTGAGCCTCTCAAAGAACGCAAGAGTGTAATATGTAAACCGATCTACAACAGATACACCAATCTGAAGAAGAAAATAACAACGTTAGAATCCAATACAATGATTAAAAGAAGAAACAATACGATGATTCCGTTGAATAATCAGCCCTTTAATTTCACAATGTGCTTTCCATTCATGAATTAGTGAAGGGCACTTACATCTGAGTCCAGGTGATGGGAATATGAGTTCTCTCCTTTTAGACTGCTACCAACAGCCAAAACACCAGGAGACTGAAGCTACGAAAGCATTTGTTTGACAAGATTAACTACGTTAGAGAAATATCCAAACGATAGACTATATGCCAATTTTCGTACACTGTGAAACATCAACTGGAATAACTGCTAAGAACAAGTTCCAGGCATAAGCCATAAAGATATGATGGATATCAACATAATAACTCTAAAACACAGAGCAAAACTAAAGTTTTGGCTTACGAGAACACATTTTCTGAGATAAAAAGACGAAACTATCTCTGAGTGACACTAAGATGTACCTGGTTAAAGAGAGTGGCAGCTTGGCAAGTATCAACCATAATCAGCAGCTCCTTGAATCTAGGCTAGCCAAATCATGTCATTAGATCGTCAAAACTGAACTAAGATGAGACAGTAACGAATAATGTTTGTTCCCCCAAGAAATGGCCCATGACACAGCTATAGGCAGGAAAAAGGTAGAGGATAGGTTAAAAACACTGAACGAATAGAATGTGAAACACACCTGCGCTTCTCTTTCATTTGTTTTACAGCATCTGCTAAATCCTGAGTTTGGAGTTCTTCTGCAACTTGGAACTTGAGAAATTCATCACCTCCATGCCCAGTCATGTACAGTAGAATATGCCTACCTTCATCAGTCATCACTGAGGAGACGCTTTGACCTTGGAACAGCATTCTCATGACGCCCAGTCAAAACCCGCAAGAAGTTTTGAACTGTAACCTCATACCCACGATAATCTACCTGAGTGAAAATGATTTCACACAATCAGCCCTTTCTGGATAAACATTACTGTACTTTACAGCCGGTGAGCAATCAAATGGCAAACATAGACGACATAGCAATTTAATGATAATGTGCTTCATTGTGCTAAAAGCCTAAAACCATTTGAGAAGTATCCTTGAACCAGAAATTTACCTCAACGTTATCTCCGTACAGGTTAAGTTTGTGATGTTCATTGTTGAAAACTTGAGCAGGATATTCATTTCTAGCATTACAGGCCATATCATCAGCCAGCATTAGTATTATCCTTTCATCTGGTGTTCCAAGTCTCTTGACTGGCCTATAAACACCAAGTTGAGAGAATACGACATTAGAAACAAAATGTGACGATTATGCTCACCTATAAAAGGACAGAGTATTGGCCATGTGCCGGTAGTTAAACCTGAGAAATAGCAACCACATCTATAGGTTAATAAGGACGAGACCTGTAACTTCAGAAATATGGATAGATTTTGGCAATTGAAACAGGTTTCTCAGGAGAGCATAACACTCTCAATCAATTAAGCATAACTCTCGCAAATCCTAAAGTATGGTGAGCAGAATTCAACTCCAAAACCTATCACCATTTTTGAAATTCATGTTCATTTCCCCTGATTTTTGTGACTCAATTATCAGAAGAATGACATCGCTCCCAATTGACATGAAAACAACGAGAAATACACACATTACACGAATTAAGATCGGACACAATCTGGAAAATTGAGAATAAAATGGAGATACTGAAATGAAGAACGAATCGGACACAACAAATAAATATTTAGGAATGAGAGAGGATTGTGGGTTTTACCAGAAGCGAGAAGTGCAGACGTGAATAGTGGAATCTCCGGAAGACTGGAAGAGAAGGCAAACGAGTAGCAGAGAAGCATTACGCGCATCAGAATCTTCATATTTAGGAAGAAAAATTGGAAAACGAAATCGATATTGAGTTTTCCGAATCTAATCTATGCGTCTCATCAGTTGGGAAAAGGAGTCTCATACGGCGGTGACACGGAGAGGCGTAGCAGCAAACGGAAAAGAAGGGAAACGACGCCGGAGTGATTTAATTAAAAATTTACTGTGATATTGCCTATTGGATCGTTAATTTAAAATCATTTGTCGAACTTTTGTGTTTAATGGTTTTTAACCTTGTTCTACGCACGTTCACATGGATTGATTGAGTAATGTCCATTGAGTAATGTTTCTGATTACAAAAAAAAAAAGAAAAAAAAATTATACGATGTTGACTCGCTTCTTCGCCTGGGACCGTGTGAGTACGCCTGGACTTGCGGCGGCGGTTTTGATGGCGCGGCCGCGGCCGCGACCGCTACTTCCAGTAGACTGATTCTGAATTACGAGATGGATGTTTTCTGCAGGATTCGCCGGCGGAAGTTCCGGCGAAGAAGTTATCGTTGCCTGGACCAACACCGTCGTCTCCGGCGCCTCCGGCTTCATCAGGATGGCGAAGATCGTGGCCAGATGGAGGGTTCCGTTGCTGTCACCTGGTCTTCCAAGCCGTTTCATTACCTCTTCGAGACGTGGATCTAATACTGGCGTCGGCGGAGTCGGCGGAGTCGGCGGAACCCAGCCACTCATCGCGGCGACGGGCAACACCAAACATCCGAGGAAGCCAACAACAAAGACCGCTATGCATAATTGACCATAATCTTCTTCGAAGATGGCGTAAACGAGAGTGCATATGGTACCATAGGCCGAAATAATCGCGATCTCGCCGCTGAGATGAAAATCGGGATTTTTGGGACGGATCATTGCGTCGACTACCGACGACAGCGAGCAGCCGATTCCGAATAGCCCTGATGCCTGCACCATCTTCTTCTTCTCGTCGTTTAGCAAAATTGATTTGCCATAAGTGCCGAAGAAAACCATCAATATGGTCATGATAGCGGTGAACAGCACCGTGAGTTTACTGACGACAAGCTCAAACTCCTGATTGTTGTAGACGCGTGAAATACCGGTCACCATTGTAGAGAGAGTGAAAAGGATTTAGAGGAAGAGTAGAGAGGAAGAAGTAGAGAGGAAGAAGAAGATTAGATCGGAGATGAAGGAGGAGCAATTCAGTGAGCGTTCTCAGTTGTGGTGTGAGACTTTAGGAAGAAGATAAGAAGGAGGAGACGACAGTTACGATTCTGTTATTCCGTTGAGGATTCTTATTCTGGTGGTTAGAGAGGAAATGAAGAAGATTAGATCGGAGATGAAGGAGGAGCAATTCAGTGAGAGTTCTCAGTTGTGGTGTGAGACTTTAAGGAAGAAGATACGAAGGAGGAGACGGCAGTTACGATTCTGTTATTCCGTTGAGTACTGTAAGTCTGGTGGTTAGAGAGGAAACGGAGCTGTTGGAGTTAGTCGTAGAGGAAATAAGCCCGAAGCTGAGTTTCGGTCAGAGAATAGCATCGAAGCAGAGGATTGAATAGAGAAAGTGTATCAGAGTTTTGCTTCGGATGAAGGAGAAGAAGCCCACTAGTGGTGAAGTGAGAGTGTAGCTGGTGGATAATCCTCGGGTTCGATTCATTTTTGTGCAGAAGAGAATGAAGCTGTTGAATTGTGATGTTGTTCTCACGATGCTTAACCTGAGAAGGCAGAGTCGAATAAGAGCAAGAATGCTTGATGGTGCAAGAGCGAAGAGCAATGGGTCTACGTGAAGCAAGCAAGAACATAATTTGTCCACAACTCTAGCAATAAGTTATTTTGAGAAAGGAATATAGCGCTGACATCTGGAGCCATAAGGATCAAGGGTATGGAAGTCGATAGACGGACGCATCACCTGCATCAGCCTCGCGCCAAGACTGGATTTAGCTGCTTGAATGCTTCCAAATTGTGACCCTGCATAAATGCCAACATTCAGCTATGAATTGACTTGCAGAAAAGACAAGGTATAAGCAGGTAATCACTCGTAAATTAACGACTCTGGACTTTTTTGATTTGACTGGCAGAGCTACATCTTACCAAATATGTAATGTTAATCATCAATAGTAACATCTTTGGCAAGGTTTTTGATATACAGCACAAGCGATGGATTCCCAGCTGTATAGTTCTGCACACAACAAAAACAAAAGAGCATTTTCCTCTCAGTGATATGCTTTTCAGAAATGATGTTCTACATTTGAATTACAGAGCATGAACTACAAACATAGTCATGAAAGAGCTGCATAGAAAACATACACTTTGAAGCATCAAATATCTGTTCATGCATAGAGAATCCCCAGTCACTAACACGTATGCATAGCCAATAAGCCAAGGTACATATTCCATACCCCAAAAGAGGAGGCTGGAATTGAGAAGTAGGCTCACATCATTACTAAAGTTATTTTCTGCACAAACATATTATAACCTGATCCTAGTATCCATAACTTGAACATAGGCAGTGAAAGAATATCCTGTGGAGACAACCTTCCTTTCTCAAACTCCTCTAAACCACAGCCTTTTGGTCGATCGGAATCTCCAAAGCAATCTTCCCTGCTTCTGCTAATCTCCCTTTTCCTCTCAGCATATCTACTAAACATCCATAGTGCTTCACATCCGGAGTGATCTTGTACTTGCTTACCATCTTGTTGAAAAACTCAAGAAACTCTTCTTCTGCTAAGCCTCCATGGCTGCAAGCGTTCAAAACACTGATCACTGTCACTCTGTTGGGCTTCAATCCGAATCTCTCCATGTCTTTGAACACACTGACCGCTTCTTTGCCCATTACATACATTGCAAACGCCGAGATCATCGTTTTCCACGACACAAGATTCTTTCTTCCGTAAGAAAAACCTCGACGCGCTTTGGATACACCCACATTTCGCGTAAGCGTCGATGAGAGAGTTTGTCACACGGATGTCACATGGAACAAACCCTCTCTTCCCAACGTAACCATGAACCGAGTCGCACATTCTTTGATCTCCGAAGCTCCAAACAGCTGGAAGAATTGCGAGAATGATGATTCTCGGGTTTGATTCATGTTTGTGCAGAAGAGAATGAAGATGTTGAATCGTGATGCTGTCCTCACGATGCTTAACCTGAGAAAGCAGAGTCGAGTAAGAACAAGAATGCTTGATGGTGTAAGAGCGAAGAGCGATGGGTCTACGTGAAGCAAACAAGAACATAATTTGTCCACAGCTCTACCACGAATTGATGAACTTATTTTAATTTTGTCGATATAGCAAATTTCAGCTGATACTACCATTTGGTAATGTTATTGCTCATTAATTACACCTGGAGGCCATAAAAATTAGGCAGCGATATTTAATTGACTATTGAGTCAGAACTCAGAAGAATTACATGAAAATCCAGATAAAAAAAGTTGCAGTAATACTCTTAAGACTTTTAATATTGTTACCAAGAAGAAAACAAACCCTGTTAGTGTTATGTATATCATCGTGCATTGTTGAGTTTTCAGCATTCTTTGCAAATAGGGTAACTGGTGGTTTTGATGAAATGGACTTGTTCAACGATTGCAATGGAACATTATTGTTTCAGGAGAGCAAGCTGATGATCAAATGTTCTGATGTTAGGCCTCACTCTTGTTCAACTCGCTGCTGCTAAAGGATCGGGTAACAATCTTCTTCCCAATCATATGTTTCGGTTAAGAGGCTTCGAACGTTTCAAACGCCAATTTGATCGGTTGATTTTGTGTAAACGCCAGTATGAAAAGAAATCAACATTCTATGTAATTTCTTGATAGCTTCTGAGAACATAATTTGGGAAAAAGAGTTGCACAACTTCTGTTTAGGGGAAAACGTATATTTTTAGTCGTCATGGAAGATTTGATGGCAAAGGGAATATTACTGCGTCAGGCGAAGCAGGTATATTTCATATTTTGCCTCGCATTTGAACCTTTCTTTATACCCAAGTAATTAATTATTTAACTGAATCCGTAGCCGACAAAACGGCATGTTACGGTAAATCAATAGAAAATTATAATTACGGTAACCTCAAACTAAGATAAATTAAAGGAAATGGTGTGATTAAGCATATATTAAAAACTGATTAAATCTTTATATAATTTATAATTTTCTACAGTGTGTTTTCTTTTGCCTTCTTAAAAAAATCGTCTAAGAATCTTATCTAGGCATATCGGATAGTAGCAGTATATATACGGGTAACAAATCCCATTTCTCTTCATTTTTTTTTTTTAAAAAAAGAAGAAGATCCCATAAAATTAGGGGAAAGTCGGGAGTTTACAAATTAATAAGCCGATAAAACTGACCAAACTTTGATAATTTTTTTTACCTCCCCTTGAAAATCGCATTTATCTCCGAGTAAGTTATTCTTCTTATGGGTCTGACATTTGTGAAAGATATCATATAAGAAGTGTTACACATTAATGAGTAAACTTTGGAGCTTTTTTCCTCTGTACGCACTAGAATGTTTTAACATATACTATCTGGTACTGTGTATTATTAATAAAGTTCAATTTCAAACAAATTAAGAAAGGTACAAAAAAGAAAAGACACAAATTCGATCTAGGTAGAGGACAAATGCGCACAAACTAGGAATTAGGCCCAGCATACGACGTACACAGTATAAATCAAAGCGAATAAAAACCACAAAGAACAAGGAATACCTAAACAGAGAGCAAAGACGGGAGATATATCGTATAATTGGACGATGAGAATTGCAAAACCTAGGATATGGCTAATGCGATCAATGGTGCCTCCTCTGAAGTGCATTTCCGGAAAGTATATGAGGATGATGACCCATGAAATGATACCCACGATGCCTGCGGCGAAGTAGAAATTACCTAAGGCCTTGAGCTTATCAGTTGTATCTCCAGATATGGGGATTTTCTCATGTCTCACATACAAGAACGCTGCAACATTGAAGGCTAGCAAAAGGATGTGCATCACAATGTCGTAGATAAAGTATATGCTCTTCCTGCATCCACCAGACGTTAATCACACAACTCACATCACACGCACGAATGGTTAATATATATACCGAATATGCATGGAAAAAACAAAAACAAAACTCGCTAATAGACTCACTCACCACCATGGATGATGTCTACTTGATTCATCGGCAGTTTCAGGTTTCATGGCTTCCTTTATTGCTATTATTTTTAGATATTGATAACGCTTTCTTTTTTTTTCCCTTTTCTAAAAGGTTCAGTTACGCCTCGTTCATCGATTCTTTCTCATTCTTTTGTATATAAACAAAGATTGGAGTCTCTTCCGCCGATATAGGATCGGTAGAAACTGTTATATGATTTTTTTGTTTTGAAAAATATTCTGATTTTATTCTTTTAAGTTTTGGCAGCTGCGTTTTTTCTACAACTTTATTTTAATAAGAAATAATTAGTTAAGAATGTATTTTGGCCATCAGTTACTGGTATTTTAAAGTAAATGGAAAAAAAGAATGAGAACATCTTCTCTACTATCATATAATCCATCCGCTTGATCATTTATTTGTTTCCAAACAAAAGTTGGAACCATTTATTTGTTTCATCTTTTCTTTTCAAGAATTGGAAACATTTCTTTCTTTTGTAGATATTTTGTTAGTATCATATTACAACAAAATTGGTAATGTAACACGATCGTGCCATTACCAATTTGTCTATATTTGAGACAGATTCGTGATCATTTGAAAAAAAAAGAAGAATAAACTGTAAGATGGACAATGCAATTCTGTAGAAATATACGATAGACTAGTGAGGGAACGTGACTACAACAGGTTGCTTGACTAAATAGAGTTTCTTTTTATCCGTTTTCAAACTCTAACATTGACAGAAAAAAAATAATAAGACTTCCTTTTTTTTTTAAGAATAATAATATTAAAACTTCCTTTTTTTCTTAATAATAATAAGACTTCCCACAAAATTTTAACTAAATTCTCAAATCTTGGAAATATTAAGAATACGTCCATTTCGTTAGAAGATAATATTTTCATGGCGCGTGCCTTCCACACACTTCTTATGGCTCTCCTCATTTGATGTTCGTATGCTTCATGAATTTCTCAAATTCTTCACGCAACAGTTACACGAGAATAACGATCGATGACAATGGACAAATTGACGGATTCATAACAGAATAACAATCTTTTGTACACACCATACAAGTCCATACATTATTAAGCTGGCCGTCGAGTTAGTGCAAGAGGCACTAATATGCATAAATCGAATATGTTTTTATGCATAAGACATATGTATGGTGTGTAGTTTTATTTCTTTTCTTTTTTTTTGCTTGACAATGGTGTGTCATTTTCATAACAATGAAATTTCAGTTTTAAATTTGTAGGAAGTCTTAGTTGTTGTTTATTTGTGTTTTGCCAAATCTTGATGTACAAGCTAAGCAAACATTGGTTAGTTACATTTAATTTTCAAATGTTAGTTGCACTTTTTCTTACGAAACGCGTCTGACTGAAAAAGTATTTAGGAGTTGTTGGTCATACACTCATACGGAAACATGAAATGCAAGAATGGTTAGTGACTTAGTGGTAGTGCAGCACTCGATTTGGAAACCGATGAATCATGATAAAAAAAACACATTTATAAGACGATATGCTTATCTAGCCACTCACCTCACGATCGCGTCTTCTATAAAGCATAGAGAGAATTCAAAACTATTTATAAAGAACTCAAGGTTATTTGGAACAACGCAAATAATATTGGACTTTCATGTTGTACAATAATGTGTAAACAAATCAGACTATATAATTAAGGCATATAACATTTTGAATTGTTTCACACGAGTTGGAAGAAGCAACATAGCTTGGTTCAGGGTTTAGTTTTCCATATGAGTAACACAAAGTAACTACCAAATATTGGTCAATAGGTGTGACAACTAAGAATGAATTATGAAGATGAGAAAACATTAAGCAATTTAGCTAATCTGTTACATCATGTACCGTACATCTTGCTTAGTGTGATACATCACGATCGCGTCTTCTATAAAGCATAGAGAGAATTCAAAACTATTTATAAAGAACTCAAGGTTATTTGGAACAACGCAAATAATATTGGACTTTCATGTTGTACAATAATGTGTAAACAAATCAGACTATATAATTAAGGCATATAACATTTTGAATTGTTTCACACGAGTTGGAAGAAGCAACATAGCTTGGTTCAGGGTTTAGTTTTCCATATGAGTAACACAAAGTAACTACCAAATATTGGTCAATAGGTGTGACAACTAAGAATGAATTATGAAGATGAGAAAACATTAAGCAATTTAGCTAATCTGTTACATCATGTACCGTACATCTTGCTTAGTGTGATACAAATTAGCTGTATACACACATCAGAGTTCTGAGGATTTTATACATAAAACACTTTCGCTGTTGATTAGTTTATGTATATTCCAGTTTTTTTATCTGAATAATAATATATTAAAATAATTCATATTCGTTTTTGAGTTTACATGGACCCCACCTTACCACAATAAATATCCATCCCTCGAGAAACACAATCAATATCTTTAACAAACAGAAAAAACAGAGCGTTTTCATTTTCCCTTTTCCTTTGAAAAACAAAATAACCTTCGACATGGGTTGCCAAGACGAGCAACTGGCGAAGACAATATGCGATCTCTACGAAAAGATCTCGAAGCTCGAGAGTTTGAAACCATCCGAAGATGTCAACATTCTCTTCAAGCAGCTCGTTTCCACATGCATCCCTCCAAACCCTAACATCGACGTCACCAAGATGTGTGACTCAGTCCAAGAGATTCGACAAAAACTCATCAAGATCTGTGGTGAAGCTGAAGGTCACTTAGAACACCATTTCTCTACGATCTTGACCTCTTTTCAAGACAACCCACTTCACCACTTAAACCTCTTCCCTTACTACAACAACTATATAAAACTCGGGAAGCTAGAATTCGATCTCCTCACTGAAAACCTAAACGGCTTTGTCCCAAAGAACATAGCTTTCATTGGATCTGGTCCTCTTCCTCTCACTTCCATCGTTCTTGCTTCATCCCATCTCAAAGACACAACCTTTCACAACTTTGACATCGACCCATCAGCGAACTCACTCGCTTCTCTCCTGGTTTCCTCTGACCCAGACATCTCTCAACGCATGTTCTTCCACACCGTTGATATAATGGACGTGACAGAGAGCTTGAAGAGCTTCGATGTCGTGTTTCTAGCTGCTCTTGTTGGGATGAACAAGGAGGAGAAAGTTAGAGTGATCGAGCATCTTCAGAAACACATGGCTCCTGGTGCTGTCCTCATGCTGAGGAGTGCTCATGGCCCTAGAGCGTTTCTTTATCCGATCGTTGAGCCGTGTGATCTTCAGGGGTTCGAGGTTTTGTCTATCTATCACCCTACAGACGATGTTATCAACTCCGTCGTCATCTCCAAGAAGCTCCCTGTTGTTTCAACTGAGAATGTTGGTGGAGTCTCGTGCCTTCTCATGCCCTGCCACTGTTCCACGATCCCCGCGATAATGAACAAGAAGAAGAACATGATGGTCGATGAGTTCGGAGCCAGGGAAGAACATTTTTCCTGAGAGGAAGTTGTTTCTTAATTAATTAATTCTCTATCTTAATTATGATCATTTGTGTCTTTAGTTTGTCCGTGTGTTGCTGTCTTTTCTACAATATTGTTCTATGGTCTGTGTGTTTTTATACAAGTGTATTTGTTTCCTATCAACGTAGGTTGAAAAAACAGAACATGATTAACTATGATGATATCTTATTATCTTAAGATGAACAAGACTAACTATGATTTGACAAAATAAGACAATTTCATCTCCTAAAAATAATATTAAGTTACAACATTGGACTTGGGCCTACAAAATAAGTTTAGACTCGGTAGAACTGTGAGGCCCGACCCGTTTCCGTATGTTTCTTGAGCAAAGAGAAATCGTTGAAGCTTTTCAGTGTAAGAGGAGAGAAACGAAACAGAACATCTGATCGTGAGGAAGCCATTGTTGCGTTGCGAACTTGGAGTTTCTGTGGCTGTTTCCATCGAGAAGATGACTGTAAGTCGGATAAGTATAGAGTTTTGCAACCATTCAAATCGCTCTATGGTTTGTTTATTCTAGTTTTCTGGGCTTGCTAATTTTATTCTGATCGTCAAATTTTGGGTGTTTTCTTTCACAGTTTACGATTCCAATTGAGAACGGGAATGGAGTGAAGAACGCCGAGGCTGATTCCCAAAGAACATTGTAAAACCTCTGTTCTCGAATCTGATAACAAAAAAAAAATTGGGATTTTGATTTTGATTATTTTCTTAGTGTTCGTTAATTTTAATTTTGTAGGTACCCGTATGTCACTGGAACCTCAGTGGTAGCTATCAAGTACAAAGATGGGATTTTAATGGCTTCTGATATGGGAGGTATGCTCTTTGCCTAGTTTTTCAGTTTCAGCTCGTTAAAAGCAAGTTTTCTTTAGGCCTTTTTGCATTTTTATGCATGCTTCACTGTTCACAAGAGCGCTTGCAACACTTGTACTACTGGTTATATAGCTATAGGCGAAAATAAACCAGAGTCAGGATGTGTAAATTCTTTATATGAGCTTGGTTGCTTGCAACACAGAGAGTGTGATACTGATTTCATGGTTATCCTGCTCAAAATGTATGCAGGTTCATATGGATCCACCTTAAGGTACAAGAACATTGAGAGAATGAAGGCTATCGGTAAGCATTCTCTTCTTGGAGCCAGTGGGGAAATCAGCGACTTCCAAGAAATTATGCGGTATCTTGATGAGCTCATGTAAGATTATGTTTGATGATAATGATTTCTTTTCCCTTGTTAACCATTTATTATTTAGCTATTCATTCTGAAAACTTACTTGTTCCTTTTCAGCCTGAATGATAACATGTGGGATGATGGTAATTCCTTGGGGCCAAAAGAGGTTCACAACTATCTGACCCGAGTTATGTATAACCGCCGCAACAAATTCAACCCTTTATGGAACACTCTCGTTCTTGGAGGTGTCAAAAATGGACACAAGTACCTTGGAATGGTAATGCCTAGCATTTGAGCTTCTTAATGAATGTAGCAGTTCTTTATTCGGATTCTTTTGATGGTCTCTAGGTCTCTATGATTGGTGTTAGTTTTGAGGACAACCATGTTGCAACCGGGTTTGGGAATCACCTAGCTAGGCCGATTCTTCGTGACGAATGGCGTGAGGACCTGAGTTTTGAAGATGGTGTCAAGCTACTGGAGAAATGTATGCGTGTGCTTTTGTACCGTGACAGATCTGCTATCAACAAGCTTCAGGTCTGTTTTAGCTTCATTGTTGCAAACTCGATTGAGTTAAGAATCTTCTGATCATTGAACTGACTCCTTCTCTGGGAAAACTTTGCAGATAGCAAATATTACAGAAGAATGCGTGACGGTCTCTGAGCCATACTCGTTGAAGACATTCTGGGGATTCTCAGCCTTCACAAACCCAAGTTAATAAAATCTATTTTGAAAACAATGGGTGCTAATTTGGATACTCTTTTATATCTCTGATTTTTGTCCAGTTTCCATGTAATAGATCCGGCAATGGATAGGATTTCTTGGCGGAAAATTGTCCACAAGTTTTCAAATGATTAAAGGTTACGCAAAAGAGATCCTTTTCTTAATTGGCAGCGCCATTAAAATGGCCACATGCCATGCTTTCTCAGTGCTTTTTCTTGTGCCTTTCCTCTCTTTCTTTTAACAATTTAGATCTTGTTTACAAACCGACATAAATCTCTTGGTCAGACTACTCTGATATTAAACCAAACAGATCTAGTCAGGATTAGTGTTGTTGCTTTGTTACTCAAAATGTAAAAGAAAGCTATAAAAAAACTCACTTCGGAATAAGGATTTTAAATGTTTTACTATAAGGCGATCATCCCAAACCATATGTTTTTGGAGTCAAATATTTGATAAAAAGATTTAGTATAACCTTAAAATGTATATTTAACTTAGAAAATTGATTTGCGTCGCTCCGCATTTGACTATTTGAGGCATATATAAACAGCTTCGTGCCAACGAAGAAAAGATAAAAGAACAATCACATGCCTTGGATCACATGTAAATAATTCAAACAAAAAATCTATGTAAAACAACAAATACCGGTAAATAAGGGTAAAAGTGGCATTCAACTGTAGTAATAACTCTACGGCTCTTCGCTGTCTCTTTCTCTCTCTCTCCGACGATTGGCGGAGATATATAAACTGGCGTCTCTCCCTTCCTCTTCTTCTGTTTCTAAATAGTCACATTCCAACGCACCAGAAAGAGAGAGAAAAACAGAGAGAGAGAGACTCGTAGAGTTACAATCTCGTAGTTTCTGAATCTCTCTCTGGTTGTTTGCGAGGAGTGAGGAAGACGAAGAGATTGTTGTGGTTGTTTACTCTCTGGATTTGATGGTGGATACTCTGTTTCCGAGCATCGAAAACACAGGCGACGACGCGTCTCCGGAGTCGAGGTGGAAGAAGCGGAGGATATCGGAGACCTCGAAGGAGGCAGAGACAGAGGCGCGACGGATCAACGAAGAAAGCTTGAAGAGATGGAGAACGAATCGTGTGCAGCAGATCTACTCTAGCAAGCTCGTCGAGGCTCTGCGCCGAGTTCGCCAGAGATCTAACGACGCCGGTAAAGTCTCCGGCGCGGCGAGAGAGATACGCGAGACAGCGGATCGAGTTCTCGCCGCGTCAGCTCGGGGCACGACTCGGTGGAGCAGGGCGATTATAGCGACTCGCGTCCGAGCTAGGCTGAGGAAACAAAGAAAGGCGAAGTCAACGGGAAATATCAAATCGAGAAAAGCTACGGCGGAGACGAAGCGGATCAAATTACCGGCGGTTGAGAGAAAACTGAAGATTCTAGGCCGGTTGGTTCCCGGTTGCCGGAAAGTCTCCGTACCGAACCTTTTAGATGAAGCGACCGATTACATCGCGGCTCTGGAGATGCAGGTCCGAGCCATGGAGGCTCTCGCAGAAATCCTAGCCACCGCCGCACCACGGACGACGACGTTGACCGGACCCTAACGACGGCAGTTAGTTTGGCAGTTGTTAAAATTAGTTTTTTTTACCCTTTTTACCCCTTTATTTGGCTTATGTTTGTTTTTTGTCTACGCAATTTTATTTTATTAATTCATGTATTTTATTTGTATACACCACCTTATTTTTGTTTGGTATCCATTTTGATTTTCTTTATTTTCTAGAATCAAGTTTATCTATTAAAAAAAAACAATAAGAGGGCATCCAATCTGAATTACACATACTAATTTTATTGAAAGATAAGAGAAAATGTTTAAAAAGAAAAAGAATAAAAGTTGAAATATTTATTGGCAACTTGAAGCGATTCAAAACGAGCATGTGCGTAGATGGCCTAACGTGTGAAGAACACCCACCTTAATTTTGGGGCCAATGGACTCCATGTGATTATCGATGACTTTTTCGACGTTGAAGTCTATGTACTATTGATTGATGTCAAAACATAAACCAAAAAGTGTATTTTGCTCATTAACTTTTAAGTTCTTGAATGTCAATATTTTCTAAAAATATACTATCACCTATATACATATATCAAACGACTCATTGAAGATTCGGTAGAATTGACATTTAAATATTTAGTGATGGTATAAATAAAAGTTAGTGCAAGTAAGTTTTGTCAGAAGAAATCCACTTGTAACGTTGAAAGGAGTGTGAAGGAAGAAGCAAAAGGACCACAAAAATGGCACCAAAAGAAGGGGAAACAATGAGATTGAGAAATGAGTCTGGAAGAACATGTTTCTTCCCTCTTTAAGACTCCCCACGTGTGCTCCTCCTTTTTACACCCGATATGTCTTTCTTTCTTTCTCGCATTCAGTATTTCGTTTTTTTTTCTATCAAATAAATTTGCAACATGTTTGTGGGTCATTGTGTCTTCTTAGTTATGTTCTTCGTGATGAATAAGATTTCTCATCATTTTCTCGGGATATATATTTTGATTGGATTGCGCATGGTTATATGGTTTTAAGAACATTTTTAAATTTATAAGCTTTCAAATCAAAAACCAATTGACAGTTTGAGTATCAATTCATGTACCGTAGGTTTTATTTTACAGACGATGTGAAGCTCGTAACAAATTATTTAATAAGATGTGTCAGCTACGATAGTGCATCCAAATTTTATCTGATCCATCGACACTTGTATCTTCATTTTTTTCTTTGCGATAAGGCTTATATAGCTATTGATACTATAAAGTTAGTGAATTCACATGATTATGGAATTAGTAAATTGTGAGAGAAAAAAAAAGTATATACATGAAATGCATCGAATAATAGGCTACAAAACAAAAGAAAAGAGAGAGAGAGGAGAGGAGAAAAGAAAGGGAAAAACGTGGAGTTGGCCATATGTGGCTAAAGGGGTAGACCCAATGTGATCACATGCAACCATGTGACTCCAATTATGAACCTCATATGTGAATGTGGCCGAGGAGACGCCAAATTTTCAAGAATCTCCTCTATCTCCTTATTCACCTCCTTCCAATTTGTACAACGCTACTGTATCTAATTACATAAAAATGAAAAAAAAGAGGAAAAATTACCTTCAATTCTCATTCCAATTCTTAGTTGGCAGAGTAAAGTAAATAATAATTACCATCTCACTCACTTTGTTTTCACTACTAGTTCCACCAATACAATAAGATAAAATGTCACCTAGAAGCGGTTTTAGTTGAAGAGAAATATAAAACTCATATGAAAATACAGTATTATCGTTACATATCTCTTTCAAACCTTCACAAAGTTACATAATATATTTACAACAGAAAGTACTTTTGGGAGTCCTTAAACTAAAACGATACAACCGGTTCAAGCGGCGGAAATAACCGAACCATCAAATTGGATGGTTGAGTAGTGGAAAGAATGGGTCATAGGACTTGAGAAAGCAAACAAAACCTCTTATCGACAAATTTGACTTCAACAAATACTCATCCATTATCTTTTTCTTTTCAGATTACTAAAAGAGAAACAGAAAATATACGTTTCTTATACACAAAGGATTTTTTTGCGTGGTGTAATGAGATGGAACACGTGGCATGACAGCATGCACTCGCACATGTCTTCGGCAGAGAGATTTCGTTGTCTTTGAACTCTGTGCTCATGTTTTCTTCATTTCCGCACGTGGTCTCAAGTCAACTATTTTTCTAATCTTTCGTTTTTGTTTTTATATATGCCATCGCTATCTCCATATATGTATCATATTTTTCTACCTAAAAGATTGAATCTTGCATCCAGTTCCAGTCACTTCTTGAAACAACGTCAAACAATTAACTCTAAATGTATATACCGCCCACTTTGATGACAAGAAAGCGAGCCGATAAAAGAGCATACATTCAAAAGAAAATTATAAACCATAACGTGATTGTGTGAAAGATCGTAATCAAACTGTACTTGTATCTTTATTTCAGACTAAGTTAAGGAAATTAAATTCATATGCAGCCAGTGTGAACTTGTTTGATATCTCATTATTTGATTTGATTCTACAAAATAAAATAACAACTTTACAGAAAAGGATGAAGAAGCAAACACTATTTTGATGATTCAAATCAGAATTTTTTCAGCATATCAGATTTTTCAGAAAACGATAACAAATGTATATTTCAAGTTTTCAACACAGCGTTCGAAGAGCCTGGAGGAAAGCTGCTATGGACACAAAAGCTTAAGTATTCCGATGGGCTAGCTCCCTCTTCTCTACTCAGGATGGGCTTATAGAAACTGGACTTTAAAACGATTTATACGATATCACATAATAAGATTTATTGTAGCTAATAATTTTTTTTCCTTTTACTTAGTTTGGTATACAAACTCTATACACATATATTTTATTTTCACAAACTCTACAAAGAGATTTCGTTTTTTGTTTTTTGTTTTTTGTTTTTTTTTTGTTCGGTAGTCACTGATCTTTAAAACTTTTATAGCAAAAAGCCAAGTAAAACCAGAATGATATTTTACTAGATTAATTACTAGAAGTTAGTATAAAAGTTAATTTACTTCTATACTTGTAGATTTTGTCACCATATTTAATATATTTTTTCCTTTTCTTTTTACTCTTAATTATAGAGATAACTCTCTGACTTCCATATCCCCCTTAAATTTTGGCCTCATATTAATCCCAAATCCCTTTCGTTTTCACCTTAAAAACTCATCACTAGATTTCTCATAGTCAAACCAAATAAAAAACAATGGACGAATCGACGTCACCTACTGTTTTCACCGAAAACCAAGTAAGCCTAGCGGAAGAACATTACCAAAGAGGCAATCTCAAAGGAGCCATCGAAATCCTGAATGCTTTGACGTACGGTCACCCCAACACATCAAACAACCACCGTAAGATCTCACAGGCTCTCGTCGCTTATCAAATCCACTGGAGATTCCTAGGCGAGGGTTTTACACACTACGATATCCTGAGAATCTCAAGCCCGTTCTGTAGCCATCAGATGATCCAGAAAAGGTACAGGGACCTCTTGGTTAAGCTCTGCCCCGACAAAAACAAATCTGTTGCGGCCAAGTCAGCTTTCGGTATCATCAATACCGCGTGGAAGATCTTGTCCGATCCTGCGAGACGAAGAAACTACAACATCGAACAAGGGTTTCAGAGGAGGTTTATGTATCCAGACGATGAACCAGATCAATCACCGAGGCAGGGGAAACGTCACTGCGTCCAAGTTTCCGATGATTCTGACTCTAATTCTGATTAGAATTAACCTATCTTAACTATAGAGGTTTCGTTTTTCATATTTTGGGATGTAATACCCATGTGTTTTTTTTTTTAGGTTAAACTTTGTGCTTTTTTCTTAGCAGTCAGTACTCTCTTTCTTGTCCTAGGTTTTTCGATGGCATCAAACACAAGTAACCTTGTGATTTGGTTTGGTCCGTTTGGAGCTCTGAAGAAAAACTTGTTAGTACCGTAACAAATGAAATTTGTTCCTTCTCCTTATGTTCACCAGTGAAATTTAGATCTGAGGTTAATTTTGATTTTCAAAGCTTCAATGGTGAATGCTAGGGTTTGAAGTTTGTAGAATCAATTTGGGGATTTTTGTTGTTGTCTATGATCTGAGTCATCTGACCTAAACAATTCAGGTTTGACTGTGTGAAACTAAGAGAATATATTATGTAGGTTAGTGATTTAGTTTATGGATTATTGTGTCCATCTAATCAAATCAATCCGAATTTAACACTGTGAAATTTCATCGTAATCTCTAGAACGATTTTTTTTTTTTTTTTTTTTTTCGACTATATCAAAAGGTTGGAGATTTTGTTGTTTTAATTTTTCGGCATTATCATGTAAAATTGCGATAATGATAGTCAAAAACTCAACGTAACAAATGTGATTCTTTTATACAAACACAACATGTTTTAAATTCCGCAAACAATGAACAAGCATAACTATGCCAAATCGAATAATGGAAAACATAACACAGAACGTCATGCATATATCTGTGGTACAACAATGATTGAACGTACAAACATCAAATCCCAACTCATTAGAAGACGCCTTCTAAAACAAGTCTAGATATGTTCTTGTACTCTTTACTTTTTAAAGACACTAACTATGGTTTTTGGGACGGAAGCTAACGAGGTTGTTGGATTATTACACAATCAAAAGGACTGGCCGGCCTCCCGTCAACAGATTTGTCGAAAAAAGAACTCTGTTCTATAATCTAGAGAGATAAACTTGACAAAAACAGTTTGTGAAGAATGTAATCTCCAAAGTGTAAGTTGTGTCACATGCAACATGTTTTGTTGCATAATATCTCGAAATACTTAGCCCCAAAACTCTAATCTAAACTTGAACCTGCATGACGAAACAAAAAAAGTGATGCAAAATAAAATAAAATAAATATATTGTGACAGTGTGGCACACTACATACTTCTATGTTGGAAGGAAGGGTCCAAGTAGCTGAAACAACCAATCAAGCTCAAACCCGGATCCGACCCGGAAGCACCAGACGACTCGCCCTCCACGATCTCCTTCTCCAATTTCAATTCTGCCAAAGAGAGGAGGATACAGAGAGCGAGAGAGAAGATCCAGACGCAGTGGTTTCCCGGAGATAGAGAGAGAGGCTTAGGAAGATGTCGCTGAGGCCGAGTACACGCGCGGAGCTGAGGAAGAAGATTTACAAGACCGGGGTCGATGCCGATGAGGCCAGGCGGAGGAGAGAGGACAACCTCGTCGAGATCAGAAAAAACAAGCGTGAGGACAGTCTCCTCAAGAAGCGCCGCGAAGGGATGACGCTCCCTCAGCAGCAGTCTCTCGGAACTGGCCTCGACGCCTCCCAGAACGCTGCCGCCGTTGAGAAACGAGTACGTCACTGATCTGAATTTCGACTTTACTTTGGATCATACGATTTGATTAGCTAATCGTAGATCTCTCTCGTGATCCTTTTTAAATTTCGAGGCTTTGATTGTGCTTTCCCTCTCAATTCTAGATCTCAGCTTCAAGTTTGCGTTTTTTTATTGCCGATCCTTTATGACCACAAATCTGATCAAAATGTGTAATTCAATTTCTAGTATCTGATCTCATGACCTTGTAAATGGATTTGATGTTACATTTCTACCGGAGGAGAGGCTTTGATTCTGTGAGAATAGCTGTTTAATGATGTTCATGTGCTTTGACAGTTAGAAGGTATCCATATGATGGTACAAGGTGTTTATTCTAACGATCCTCAAGAACAGCTAGAAGCCACTACTCAGTTTAGAAAGTTGTTATCTATTGGTAGGTATACATTTATTCCTTTTCAGAAGCCAATTCTCCGTTCTGAGGCTATATTTGTGTATCAAACAGCTGATGATTGCTTGTAATTATAATTTGATGAGCAGAGCGCAGTCCACCGATTGATGAAGTGATCAAAGTTGGTGTTATCCCACGTTTTGTGGAGTTTCTTGGAAGGCAAGACCATCCTCAACTGCAGGTATGTCTTATCTTTCTTACATTTTAGATTTTTCCTTGACAATGGACGACACCTTAGAGACTCAAGAATGGGCTGGTTGCTTACTTTAATGCTCGTTTGCAGTTTGAGGCTGCTTGGGCCTTGACCAACGTTGCGTCAGGAACTTCAGATCATACTCGGGTTGTGATTGAACAGGGGGCGGTTCCTATCTTCGTTGAGCTTCTTAGCGCTGCTAGTGATGACGTTCGAGAACAGGTTTGCCACTAATTAGCTAGATAACTGTAGCTCTCACTTGCATTTCCATTTTATATTGTGAGTAGGATACGTGCCTCCCAGTTTTTCTTACAAAGCTTTATACATATATCCGTTTTAGGCGGTGTGGGCGTTGGGGAATGTTGCTGGAGACTCTCCAAACTGCAGGAATCTTGTTCTCAACTATGGGGCTCTTATACCGTTGCTGTCCCAGTTAAACGAAAATTCCAAGTTATCCATGCTAAGGAATGCTACATGGACTTTGTCCAACTTTTGTCGTGGGAAACCGCCAACACCATTTGAACAGGTAGGAGTCTACAGAAATAGAGTCTCTTGTGTATCCTGATTTTGCCTGGAAAGCATTACTCAAGCATGATGTTGGTTATTCATATGTTTCAGGTGAAGCCTGCGCTGCCAGTTCTTCGGCAGCTTATTTATCTAAATGATGAAGAAGTTCTCACAGATGCCTGCTGGGCTCTCTCCTACCTATCAGATGGCCCCAATGAAAAGATTCAGGCTGTGATTGAGGCAGGTGTCTGCCCGCGACTTGTGGAGCTTCTGAGGTTAGTTCCTTTTGCCTGGTCAATAGCTGAGGTAACATCTTTATATTCTCACTGCTTTCTGATGTACTGACTAATATATACTTCTGCAAGTCATCAATCACCTACGGTTCTCATTCCCGCCCTTCGAACTGTTGGGAACATCGTAACTGGTGATGACTCTCAGACACAGGTATGATTTAGCGACTCTTAATAATGCTTAGGGTGTTTGCTTTGACATTTTGACTCTGACTGGGTGTTTTCTTTTTCAGTTTATAATTGATAGTGGCGTACTTCCGCACCTTTATAATTTGCTTACGCAAAATCACAAGAAAAGTATAAAAAAAGAAGCTTGTTGGACTATCTCAAATATTACTGCTGGGAACAAAGTTCAGATAGAGGTATGAGTCTTTTTCTGCTATTTTTAATATCACAAGGAGACGCTTGCTCATGGAAGATGAGATGCATCAAAGTTTTAGAGGCTAAGGACTAACATTTTTGTATTATTGAAACAATAGGCTGTGGTTGGCGCTGGAATAATCCTTCCTCTTGTGCACTTGCTCCAAACCGCGGAGTTCGATATAAAGAAGGAAGCTGCCTGGGCTATCTCCAATGCCACGTCAGGAGGATCTCATGAGCAGATTCAGTACGTCATCCCCATTCCTTACCGCATTTGCAAACAACTGTTTCGACTTCAGAGTGTTCCTTTTAACAGTCTTGTATCATCATCTATCTCGAAATGGTAAAAATGCTATAACAGAGTTTTTGAATGCATGCAGATATTTGGTGACCCAAGGCTGCATCAAACCTCTTTGTGATCTTCTAATCTGCCCTGACCCGAGGATTGTGACAGTGTGCCTCGAGGGGCTTGAAAACATTCTCAAGGTTGGTGAGGCCGACAAGGAGATGGGATTAAACGGTGGAGTGAACCTTTATGCTCACATAATAGAAGAATCTGATGGGCTTGACAAAATCGAAAACCTTCAGTCCCATGATAACAACGAGATATATGAGAAGGCCGTCAAGATCTTGGAGAGATATTGGGCTGAAGAAGAGGAAGAGCAGAATTTGCTGGACGGCGTGAGCGAAAATCCGCACCAGAGCTTCAACTTCGGGAACAACCAGGCCGCTCCTCCCCCTGGTGGATTCAAATTTACCTGAACAAAATGATGTCCTTTGGTTTGAGGAACCTGAGATTCAGCTTTTGCAACTGTTATTGACAATGCCAGCCGATTCAAGTTTGGGTTTTTGAGTTATGGTGCCAAAAAGGCTTTTTTTTTTCTCTGTTTTTTTGTTGCTGTTATTCGTCTGAATCATTCTCTGATTCTGTATCTTTAACTTTCATGTCTAGTGTGGTTACTGGTTTAGGATATTATCACTCTTTCTATTTGTCAACTTTTATCTTTGTTGCTATAGTTTCTCAACTTTTACTCAGCAGAGTACAAATACAAAAGGAAAGGTTATTGATTGCAAGTCTTGCATTGTTACATAAAGTCCTCAAACGAATTGGTTAAGGAAAGCTCTAATCTCATCAATATAAGGCGACTTTGTAGGGATGATGTGGCCAGACTCATGCTCAATAATTGTGGCGCAGCCATCGTCAAACAACCCTGCCAGATCAGAGCTGGCTTGAGTCACGATCTGTCTGTCTTTTCCAGGTTGGCTTCCGAAAATGTGAAGTGAAGGGCACTTGATCGATCCTTGCTCTTTCTTCTCCATCAACGGCCACGGCGTGAAACCTGAGCACAACACACAGAATCTGAAGTCTATTTCACCTAAGAGCTGCTCTTGTTTCCCGCATACAGCTGCAGCCATTGCAGCACCTTGAGAGAATCCGAGAATGCCATCAAAAGGCCCTTTCTCAGCAACTGCATTCTTCAAGTATGATAAAGATCTTTCAAACCCTTCGGTTTGATTCTGATACTGCAATGGATCAAACTGGGACGGGGCCACTTTCCAGCCTGTTTCACTCGGTTTGTCAAAATCTGGTGACACCAACCACGCAAACTTCTTGTTGCAAGTCCCTGGTGGAGGGGTTTCAGTAGTCTGGTAGATGAACTGTAGTTCGTGCGGTGCATCAATGAACACAAGTTCGGCAATATTCTTCAGCTTCTTTGCTAGTGATCCAGTCCTCCCTTTGAAGCCAGACGCGTTCTGCCTAAAACCATGTAAGCACAAGATCCTTAGCTTCCGTCTTGTATCGTCACCTGCAGAAGGCTGGTTTGAAGGATCAAGACTCGAAGGGACTTCCCCTTTTCCATGTTTACGACACAGCTCGCACACATAATCATCTCCTTTAACCTGCAACACCACATCAATAATCCAAGATACACAAAATCCATGTGAAGTAGATCAACACAAAAGGTCTCAAGTGTAATACCTGGCAATGACTGCAGACTAATACAAGCATCCGGCATAATCTGCAACGGCAACGTGGAGCATAGTCGTCAAAGACATTGTTGCAGAGAAGGCAGCTGCCTATTATATCCTCTTTTGAGCTCCCAACTGAGATCCTTCAAACACAGCATGAAGAATATAAATTACCCGGAAGTGAAAGAAGAATAGTTTTGCTGGTCAATTACAAGAGAAAGATGCAAGAACATATACCGGTGATCAAACACAAAGTTCTTCCCTTTGAAGAAACCTCCACTGGGAAACTGTTCAAGATATCTCTGTATGCCACCATAGAGCTGCAAGAAACATAAAACAGCTGGAGTCAGCCATGTTCACTGACTTGTATTCAAATCCATTTGCTATCCAGGATCTCACCTGAAAAGTGTTCTCAAATCCAGCGCCTTTTGATCTGATATACGCAGATGCCATTTCACACCTGATTCCACCAGTGCAGTACCTGATTCACATAAAACATGAGAACTTCAATGGTTTTGAAGAGTCATCTGAACAAGAAACTGTTCATAGAGCTATTTATTCATACAAGAGCACGTTTTTCCCCTTCAGTTTCTCGGCGTTCTGATCAATCCAGGTTGGCAAATCGCTATACTGCCTGATTTCAGGATCAAGTGTCTCAACATTATCTGATTCGAACTTTCCGATCCGTGTCTCGTACAAGTTCCTTGCGTCCAGCAAAACAAGCTCCTTATTCTCAGTCTCTCCATCTCCATCCGGATGTTCGTCTGAGTTCCAAGAAAACATAATCAGATGAGACACACAACATAGCAGCAACCAGCAAGCAATCAAACAAATTAAGAACTCTTACTGGCACTCTGCAGGACTGAATGGAACTCCTCAGCAGAGAGATGTTTTCCAGCATTTGAGATTTCTGGAGATTTTAAGAGAGGGCAATGACTGAAGGTCACTAACTCCTGCAGATCACAACACAATAGCACAATTCTGTCACAATGCATATGAGACTAGTGCCACAATTCTGTAAATCAGTTGACATACGAAACAAGGCAACAACCTCAACAACACGGATGGAGAGCGATGTAAACCCACACTCCTGAGAAACTTTGTCATTTAAGGGATGATGGCAAGATGCAAGCTTGAAGTCAGTCCCTTGGAACAAACAGTTTGACTTTGCGGCGGCAATATGTTCCTCCAACGCAGTTAATTTCCCACCAACCTAACCAAAATGCGAAGTTAACACAACCGTATTAACAGAACTCTAGCAAAAGCTTCAAACTTTGGATTCTGCCTTCCTAATGGTTCAAATGGATATCCAATTAAACAACTAACTTAAATCCGAACTCAAAAATCAAGACTTTATTCTTCTCATTCCTCTCAACACATAAAGGTTTAGACTTTTCGATTTTAATTCTCAAAAAGGGTTCAATTACAAAAACAACATCGGATAATGTAGAGAAGGAGATGAGAAGCATACTGTGACATTGACGCCATGAGTGGAGACTCTGACTCGGCCGAGTAGACCGAGTGAGTTGCAGCTGGATTCGTAAAAGGAAACGAGCTCATCTAGATCAGGAACAGTTGCGTACTTGTAGTATAGCAACACCCCGTATTGCTCTTCATCTTCAATCCTCTGCTTCTCGCCGTCGCTACACGAGCTCGTTCCCATAAGGGTTCTCTTGTTTTCAGCGAGAAAGGGAGGCAAAACGATAAATCTCAGGCTCGCTCTCTGGAACCGGGAAGTCAGGAAGCCATTTGCTTAACCATTCAAATAACCGCGAACGCGATTGGGAAAACCGAATCGAATTAAACCGAACAGCTTAAACCGAAATTTGTTTGTATGATTTGATAGAGTTCACTTAGCTTAAAGACATGATTCAAAACTGTAATTCTTAACTATCAAACTGTAATCCTTCAAATCAGACAACATTGCTCATCAAACTTGTTCCAATCACATTACTAAACCAAAAAAACAGAGAGATACAACTTCAATTGATATTTTTAACTCTAATAAATGATCAAATGCTGTTATGTCCCCCCATTGCACTCATCAGTTTTGTCCCTTGTTCTGTTTGGTTTCAGGGACTAGAGGCTTGATGGCGAGTTTCGGCTTTGTGCTGACGAGTCTATGTGGAAGCACTGAAACAGCAGCTACAAAGGAGCCATTTGGTATTCTAGAGAGAGGCAAGAGTTCCACCAGAACACATAACTGCACATTTTTATACACCAATCTTTAGAATTTTATAAACAGGATAACACAAACAAGGTTTTGAAATTATTTTCTACATGTAAATTACCTCTGGAGTTTTGAGATCAACAACTGAATCAGGTACAATGTCTTTCACGCCGGCGGCAACAGTTTCAAAGCATTTGGTGCGGTCCAACAAAGGACATTGATCCAGAACCTCTGATGCTTCTTTCTTGATCTTTCCTTTCGTCTCCTCCACACCTCTTCGGTTATATCCAGCTGCAAACTGTATGGTTGTATGTATTTGGTTAATAAACTATTAGTCTATTACCATGAAATCTAACAATATCCTCAGCTATATATAACATAAACTTGATTATGCAGGCATACTCTTTCTTTCTTACCTTGACGGGTTTCGATAGTGTATTGTGTTTATCATCGACAAACCGCTGAACAAGCTTTGCCACTGTTTCCCGAAGTTCTTTCTCTGTCAAACCACAAGTAGCTTGAACAGGGCATATCCGATGGCACCAGCTGCATCATTCAAATAATAAATTACTTGCTTTTCGTCACGAAAACATGCTTACATCAACAGAATCTAGAAAAAACAGTGATCAAAAGTTTCTAGCAGAGTGGGATAATACATAGCCAGAGATTTTAAAAAGAATGAAATTTGTCTCAGAAACCACTCTTTGAAATTGAGACTATCTATCACACTAGAAATAATGTTTTCAGGCCACTAGTAGCTATAGGTTGAATCTCCTGAGGTTCACTAACTAACATTTCACCAGGTTCGTTTATGCATATGCACTGAATTAAGAGGTAACACTTACATTGGTGCCTTCAGAGATCCAGATTCCATAGACTGGAAGATCCTTGAGACAATATTCGTTGTATCGAGAGAGTTTTCAACAGGGAAAGTAAAAAGAAGCAAGCCACTCTTGGTCAGCTTAACCAATGACATGAGAGACTTGTGTTCTTCACTGATACTTTCTTTGGCCGATTTGAGATGCTCAACAGTTGGATTTTCACCTAAAGAAAGGCACCAAAAGTAAGAATAATTTTTAAAATAGACAAACAAGAGAAATTTGACTATGCTCTTCCGGATATGAAAGTCACCTGTTTCCTGCAAGGGATCAGTGTCGAGAGGTGAGGTCTTCTCTTCGTCTTCTTCTATCTCTTGTGCACAAAGTTTTCGTTTTTTAGATGCATCAGAAGATTTGAGAACTTGAGCACTCTCCTCACCAATGGGCAACACTTTTCCAAGGATGGACATGACCTCTTTTGTAGCACTCTTCTCCCTTTCTGATTAAGAGCTCGAAATCAGCAAACGGTTTAAAAAAAAAAACCTCAAATTTATCAATTTAAGTATCAGAACGCAGAATTTGTATTTGTCTACTCAATACAATCTCGATATGCTCACTCGGAGGCCATTAAGGAATTGAGGAGCAAAAATATGAAGAGGAAGAGTATACTGATTGAGCAGGTGACGAGGAAGCCGGAATGAGAATGATGAAGCAGAGAAGAAGGAGCTGTGTAGTCGAAACGAGGGATGCTTATGATGCTGGCGTGTTGCTCCCATGGCGCCAATGTTTCAGCTTCGTCTTCTCTTTCTCTCTTCTCACAAACAGCCTCTTCCTCAATTGTTCTTCCGACATCGTCCACTTCTTCTGCAGCAGCCATTATCACTCTGAAGATTCCAAAGAGCGAAGAGAGAGATGGGAAAGGAGGAGGAAGAGCTCAAAGCCTCGAGCTTTAGCAATTTTGATGGTAACGCTAGACAAAACAGAAACAAGAGTTTGAGCCCTATATTGAATTAAGCGGTTTGGAAACTGCGATTGCGTTTTCAACCCTGTAAAACCCTGAAACGCGACGTTTAGAACAACGCATCTTCAAACAGCTAAACCCTGAAGCCTATACTACCAGAGGCAGAGCAATTTAACATTGCACGAGGTCCGATTCGATCCTCTTAAGAGCCTGTGCGTCTGAGAGAGGAAAGAGATGCATGTACTAGCGCGGAATCTAGCTCGGAGAGTCTCAAGAACTCAGGTAATGCTCTCAATTCATGTTGTCTCGGTGATTTGACTCTTCGTCTAGTGTTCTTTAATTGTAATATGCTAGACGAGTCTCGCCTCGTATTGTTCATCACCATACTCTGCTAGTGAAGAAATGTGAGAGATTTGATGATTAAAGCTCGAATCTTTGTTCACTCGAAGGGCAAAGCAGAAAATTTGCTGAGATTCTGGACTAGAAAGTGTCAGCTTTTAAATGAGAATTGACTCTGTATATAACTTTGAGACTTAAATTGCAGAGAGAACTTGATCATCGATACTAATTACTTGTGTTTAATCTCTGTGTCCTGTTCGTTTATCTAAAGAGACATTTTGTTTATGAAATGAGGGATTTCAGGTCATCAGTCGCAATGCATATTCAACACAAAGGGTCAGAGACATTGGTCAGCCAACTCCAGCATCTCATCCTCATGTAACTCTACTTTAAATATCTTCTCCTCAGTTGTGCAAACGCTTTATATGCTCTCTGATGGTTTGTTCTCCCGCATCAGTTAATGGCGGAAGGAGAGGTCACACCAGGAATAAGAATTGAGGAGTACATTGGTAGAAGGAAGAAGCTTGTGGATCTTCTTCCTGAGAACAGCTTAGCCATCATTTCTTCAGCACCCGTGAAGATGATGACAGACGTTGTTCCATATACGTTCAGGCAGGAGGCTGATTATTTGTATCTAACTGGCTGCCAACAACCAGGTGGTGTCGCTGTTTTAAGTGAGGAACGCGGTTTATGCATGTTCATGCCGGAATCAACTCCTAATGTATGATTATTTCTGTATACAGAGTGATTCTGATATCTGTTTAGCGATTTAGAAGAATTGGTTTGTGGTGTGTAGGACATTGCTTGGCAAGGAGAAGTAGCTGGAGTTGATGCAGCGTCCGAGGTCTTCAAGGCAGAACAATCATATCCGATAAGCAAATTACCTGAGGTAACTACTTATATTTCTGGTCTTGTAGATTTTTTCCTTGTGTTATTGACTTGGTATTGTTACTTCTGTAACACAGTATTTGTTTTGTTTCACGTCCTTAATGTACAGATTCTTTCAGACATGCTAAGGAATTCTTCGAAAGTGTTTCATAATGCTGAAATGGCCTCGCAAAGATACACAAACTTGATTGAGTTTCAGAACTCGGCATCTCTTGGCAAAGTGAAAGCTCTCTCAAGTTTGACACATGAGCTGAGGTTAACTAAATCGCCTGCGGAACTCAAATTGATGAGAGAGTCTGCATCTATTGCTTGCCAGGTAATCCTGTATTATGACAAAGCCATAATTTTGCTCCTGAAATTTCTTGGTTCTTTTTAGCTTCTAGTTACTAATGAGATGCTTGCTAGAGACTAAGTGAAATATTTAGATGATGGAGAAATTCACACGAGATAGTGGGACAAATGGTTAAAGTTGAACAATTTTCCTGACAATTGTGTGTATATTGTTGAGAATTCAAGTGACGAAACAAGGAACACACGCATAAAGTGCTCTCAAGCCATGAACTGATTGAACAATTTGGGTTGAGGGTGTTATATTGTGATTGTGAGCTGTTTATGAACAGCCTCTCGTGAAGGCAATGCCTCGCTCAAGGATATGCTAATGTTACTATGTTCAAATTGTTACGTTTTGATACTGTATTCTCAAATTTCCATGCAAGATAGTAGCTATCAGAGACAATGAGCGTATGTAATGATTTGGATCTTTTCATTCTCAGGGTCTTTTGAAAACAATGCTACATTCAAAAGGGTTTCCAGATGAAGGCATCTTGTCAGCTCAAGTTGAATATGAGTGCCGGGTAAGAGGTGCTCAGCGAATGGCGTAAGTCTCCACATTTCTCTCTAGTCCACGACCTAATATGTGATTCTGATTCTTAGTAAAGTCATTCCATATTCTTCTTGTTCTATTGAGAAGAAAAAAAATCATGTTTTTGTTCCGTAGATTCAATCCTGTGGTCGGTGGCGGTCCAAATGCCAGTGTTATCCACTATTCACGAAATGATCAGCGAGTAAGTCTGATGAAACCCTGTTCAGTTTGCTAATACAGAGATGGTCTTGAAGCCAACATCTTAAATAATCTGCAGATAAAAGATGGAGATCTTGTCTTGATGGACATGGGTTGTGAGTTACATGGTTATGTTAGTGATCTTACTCGGACATGGCCACCTTGTGGAAAATTCAGCTCTCTTCAGGTTGCTGCTTCTGCTGTCCGAGTATTTTTTTTTTAATCTTCTTTTGTCTGGTAGCTCGATATTCTCCTGTTTTTTTTCCAGGAAGAGCTATATGATCTTATACTTCAGACAAACAAAGAGTGCATAAAACTCTGCAAGCCTGGCACAACCATCCGCCAACTAAACACATATTCGGTAAATATAACTCTATCTTAAGCCTTGTCTTTGTTCTTGAGATGTGTTAAACACAAGTTTACCATCTAAATTTTTGCCATGACGTGAAAATATGATCCACTTCTATGTTTGTTATGGAATGCTAAAAAATGAAAATCATGTAGAAGGCTGATTTACAAATAGTTCATAAACTTCAAAGCTTTATTTTCCAGGAAAAATGATGTTTGAGCTTAGATGATACTCTGTGGTTTTTGCAGACCGATATGTTATGTGATGGATTGATGAGGATGGGCATCTTGAAGAGTCGTAGACTGTACCACCAGCTGAATCCAACCTCCATAGGTATGCATTTATTGAATTTCAATCACGTTTAACTTATTGGGTTATCCATCCAATCAAATATATTGTATATATGAATCTCTGGTCGATGTAACCAATATAGATGGCAACATTCTTGTTAACTTGTAGGGCATTATGGTTTATTTAAAGTTATTATATAACCAAAAAACACAAAATAGTTAGTATCTAATAAAGTTGTCTTGTGATGGATAAAAAGGTCACTACCTTGGGATGGATGTGCATGACTCTTCTGCTGTGGGATATGACCGTCCTTTGCAACCTGGTTTTGTAAGTAAATGCTGACTAACTCTTTCGAGTCTTAGTTTTGTATGGAAGAAAATTTCAGGGTTTATAACATTTTTAACCCGTTTGGAGGACAGGTGATCACGATCGAGCCAGGAGTCTACATTCCATCTTCATTCAACTGCCCTGAAAGGTAGTGACCATTTGATATGCACTGCATTTATACGGACGGGCCATGCACCATTACTCGTATATACATATCATTATTGTTGTGATGATGATTGCCAAATGCTCATGTTGAAATTGCTTATTTATTTTTAATATTTTGCAGGTTCCAAGGGATAGGTATAAGGATCGAAGATGACGTTCTGATCACTGAGACAGGATACGAGGTGCTCACAGGGTCAATGCCTAAGGAGATCAAACACATAGAGACATTGTTGAATCATCACTGCCATGAGAATGCTACACAAAGCTTCGCCAGTTTCTCTTCGTAAGGTTAAAAGATTACGTAATTCTCCAAGACGATTGTTTTGAGAACAACCACGGAAACAAAAAAGAAGTAAACAGATTTGTCTCTTGCGTTGTATTATTACTATGATGGTGGTTTTAGCGTTATTCACAAAAAAACTAAAGAGTATGTTGTATAGATAATTTGAATTATCAACACTAATAGCGAATAAATCCCTCAAACATGAAGAGATCCATATTAGGAAATGAGGACACAAATCACAATCAAGAAGTTAGAAGTTGCAACTCTTTACAGTTAAGAGTTGGGAAAGAAATAATGCACAATACTATTATGATCCTTTATTATATGTAAATAGACGTTTTGTTCGATTGGATCGATTCATACCAAAAAAACTAATTGAGGAGTAAGAGAACGGTTACTGGTTAGCAGGTGAGGAAGATTTGAGATTATGATAGGCATTGCATTAATACGGACGGGCCATGCACCATTTATCATATACACATCATCATAACTAAAGTCATTATTGTTGTGATGATGATTGCCATCCAGATTTTGTTAGATTATTTAACCAAAAACTGTGAAAATTAGCTGGCACGTATCAATATTTATGGATTCAACAACAAACATGCCTATTAATGCTTTTTTTACATAAATCTCATCATAGATATGAAGTTCAAGATTTGATCAAGTAGTTTTTTTAATTAGACTTTTGTTTTGTTTTTCTCATCATTCGATTTTTTATGTTTATATATTTTTAATAATTTTTAGTTCAAACACAAAATACAGAAGATTATCAGGTCCAACGTCGTTGTCAAGGATTTGAAACAAGGTTGGTCTCAAATAGCTAAAATAGTAGAGTCAAAGGTATGATTTCTTAATTGGAGTGTATTTCACATCCCAAATATGTAGTGTCTTGTTTGATTCATGACCAAACCGTTGCTAAACCCAATGGCAATCTCCGTAATAAGATCAGAAACCAATGGCAAACAAACACTACCCCACCTATATATGACAAGGTTTAAGTCACTTCACTCTCCACAACACACAAATCAAAGCTAAAACTAAAAACAGAGCAAAAAAACAGATATGGGCTTAGTTACAGAGGAGGTGAGAGCCAAGGCAGAGTCGTACACCGGAGATGAGATATGCCAAGAGAAGGCAAAGTGTTTCCTCAAGGAAATATGTATGCCCAATGGCTTATTACCACTCAAGGATATAGAAGAGGTTGGGTATGACAGAGAGTCAGGTGTTGTATGGCTGAAACAAAAGAAGAGCATCACTCACAAGTTCGAAGCGATTGATAAGCTTGTCTCCTACGCAACCGAGGTCACTGCCGTGGTTGAGACCGGGAAGATCAAGAAGCTCACTGGAGTCAAGGCCAAGGAGCTTCTTATTTGGGTCGGTATCAGTGATATCTATACCGAGGACGGAGGGAAGATCACGTTCAAGTCACCGACCACACTGTCCAGGACTTTCCCGGTCTCAGCTTTCGTAGTCCCAGAAGAAGTGGAGCCTGCCAAAGAGAAGAGCAGTGAAGCCACCGAGGTCAAGGAGGCTGTTCCAGTCAAAGAGGCTGTTGCAGTTAAAGAGGCCTAATCAAACCTCTCACCCCTTCAGGCTTCAAGAGACCAGAATATTTTTCAAGTATACTTCAAGAATTTGAATCAATTATGGAGAATTAAGTGTTTTTCACTGCTCTTACTCTCATGTATTATGTATTACCTACCACTTGTTGCTGTTTGTTTTACCTATAATAAGATGTCAACATCATCCTGTTCCGTAAAAGTTATCCGTAATTATCTATAAACTACGTTGAAGCTAATTCTGTATGTACCTTCAAGAACATGGGAAACCTATTCGCAAGCAAAAGTGAGAGTCACCACAGATAAAAAAAAAAGTTCTTTCCGGTCACGTAACTATGAACAGTGATAAGATGCTAGATGACGCACCTCTTTCAAAAGACTATTTGCTAAGTTCACATTTTCACAATAGGAGGATTAACAGGCAAGAAAACAGCCTTACAGAAGCATTATGATTAGCAGTATCTCGAGGAAAATCAATAAAAAATATCAACTGTTTATTAACTCCAAATATCTACAATAGCAAGGAAACATCAGGATTAAGCTAAGATTCAAATACCTCCAAAAATAAAAACAAAACTTGAGAATCCACAAATCTTCTCCAGCCTAATTACACCTTTTGATCCTGAAAATCAAAATTAATGGCAGCAACCATCAGTAAAAGCTGAAAATTTGATATGTGAAAAATGAATGGATTGCTTTAGAAGCATACCTTAGAAGATGTTATCCACTTGCCATCAACCCATTCCTGATGAAGCCTCAGCTGAAAGTGATTAAATTTCAGCACCTCTCCGGTCTTCTCGAAGTTAACGAGGTAGTTTGACTTTGCAAGAATCTTCATAACCACCCCAACCCACCATCCATCATTATAGAAAGCATCAACTCTGTCAAGCTTCTCGAACGAATTCACCATGATCCTCTCTACTGGTCGAGGCCTTATCTGTGAAACTTTAACCTCTTCTCTCAGAGGCTCTTTCGCATCCTCAGCTTTCAGTTTATCATACTCTACAAGGCATTTGTCAAGACCTCTGTATTCAACAAGTTTTGCAGGAAACCAAGAGTCTTCAAACCCTTCTTCCTCACTACTAACCTCGACTTGAGTTCCAATGCTCAACTCTTGCTTCGAGACTTCTTTCTTAGGTCTCACGTTCCGATCACATGAAACTGAAACTCTCTGCGGAACCTTTGGCCTCTTCTCTCCTCTTTTCAGTGGTAGCTGCCAAGTCCCGTTAACCCAGTCTTTATGCAGACGAAGACCAAACCTTCCAAACCGCATCTTCTCTCGTGATTGCCTGAAAAAGATACCAACTCTTCCATCCTCCAGACTCTCTATGACCTCACCAACCCACCAGCCGTCATTGTAAAAGGCATCGACTTTGTCACCAATAGCAAAATCTACATAGTCCTCACTTGCTGGTGGAAGTGGCCTCATGTGTAGAAAGTCGGCTTCTTCTTTCAGAGGCTCAACGCCATCTTCTTCTCTCAAGTCTCGGTACTCAACAAGGTAATTATCTTCGTCAATGGGTTTAATGACTTTAGCTACAAACCAAGATCCCTTGAAACCTTCCTCCTCGCTGCTAACCTCAACCATTGTGCCTTTGGAAAACATTTGTTTCGCAATTGCTCTCGCAGTTTCCGGATCCACTTGGGCTAAAATATCCTGGATATGTCATAAGTTTCACCATTAATTTGCATTCTAATACTCTAGAAGAACTAAAGCAAGACTCTTCAATTTGATTCAACACAGCATTTCAAGCACAATAGCAAGTGTGATTACTGATTGCAATGCACAAAAAGCAGCTAAATTGTGTTACCTCTTCGTCTTCTGTGTCGTCTACTTTATCGTCTTCTGATTCCGCCTCTTCCGTTTCCTCAAGTGGCGGCTTCCACGCGCCATTTACCCATTCCCTCTGCAACCGCAATTGATCTTTGCGAAATTCAATCTGTTCCCTGGAAGTTCTGAAGTAAACACTGAATTTGCCATCACCCAGAACCTTCATCACCTCCCCTTCCCACCAACCGTCATTGTAAAAGGCGTCGACTTTTTCCCCCACAGCGAAATCCCGTTTCTTCTCACTCTCAGACAACGACGGCGCCGGAGGACGAAGCTGAGCCGTGTGGACAACCTCCTTCAGCGGCTTCTTCAAGTCTTTGTCGAAGTAGAGCGTCGTGTACTCGACCTGGCATTTGACGGAATCCTTATCTGAGGAAGGTGCTGTGACCACCCTTCCCGGGAACCAAGAGCCTCGAAACCCAGTCTCGTCGGAGCTGATCTCCACGGCGGCGCCAGGTTTTAGGTAAGAAGGCACACGATTGTCCCGAATCGCTCGAAGAGCCGTGGAATCCTTGGGAGCTTTCTTCCTCTGGTTCGCCGGAGACGGTACCCCAGTAGATTGACGAGGCCGCAGAGACATGGCCTGGGAGTGTCAAGGGAAAAAGAAATTGGCGGGAAGAAGAATGGATAGGTGTGGGAGATCAAAGGAATTAGCTTTTTTAGGGTTTTGAGGTTTGATTTGCGCAATCAAAATCAATTTAAAGCTTTGCAGACTTTACGCCTTCCATGTAAAAATGATGATGAGTGGTAAAATTGTGATCATGGGCTGATAAGACGTTGTAGCCCAAGTTCACTTTTTTGATCATACAATTAAAATCATGTTTATCTGTATGTTCTCTAAATCTCTCATAAAGACTTATCTAAATCATTTGCATGAAATCGATCGACATCGGTAGCTCAACTGCTTTATTAGTAGAACTGTAGAAGAGGGAGAGATACGTAGAATTTATTTGGGGATAAACATAAGCTAAAGACCATACGAGAGACGCAAAATGTTGATAGGGTAAGTCGAAAATGTAAAATACATGTAAAGATGAATATAAACCTCTTAATCTCTTACAAAATATATTGGAAAACAATTCAGTCAAAAACATGTTGTCGTTTTGGGAAATCTTCTTTGTACACTGTTCTTTGCTCTCTCACTAGACTTTTCTTCTTCTCAGACAAGGGTGAAGGCAGATTGTACCGTGGACTGAAACCGTGATGCGATTGTCTGCGAGGCAAACTGCTGAAATTGTTTCTTTGCATCTGCCATCACAATGGTGAATACCAATTAGAGTTTGCACATGCATACGTTCTTTGCAAACAAATCTAAGAACCTAATGGGAAAAAAATCAGGGCAATATAGTGGGAAATTAACAAGGATCTTACCTTTCTTGCACTTTGTGAAGCCGATGATATTAGCCACGTTGAGGGACAAGCAAACGCCAACGACAAGCAGATAGTCGGCCTGAAACCTTATCAGAGAAAATATTCCAAGGATAAACCACGCCGCTGCCTGAAAAAGTGGGGAAAAAAAGGAGATTCAGCTGCAAATATAACCCATTTCTACCATCTCCTGTCTAGTTCTCACTCTTTATAAGTCGCTTGTAAAGTAACTGAGCCTATAGGTTTTTACTCTTTAAGCTACAAAGTATTAATCAATCTGATATTTAGTCAATGTAGGTTACTAGGATATACTACTGCACTTTCAACATGCACAATTTCAATGGCCAACTTTTAGCCCACCAGACTACTTTTCTCTAATCTACCTAATTTGCAATGTGTCTGCATGTGATGTGGCTCCATTTCTAAATGCTACTATCTCACTAAGAAGGAAAACAATTTGTCATAAACTCATAGATAAAACTCGTTAGTTTGTGAGCATCGTTATAACACATTTGCTTCACCATTAGGGTCATGGCTATTCTTACTCCTAACCCTCCACTAAAGTTTCAGGTGCATTGCAAACAGGTTTAAGTGATAACTGATGAGCATACACTACAACTGCAGTCATAGATAGGAACTACTTACTGCAAGGTAAAGCGTCCACCAGAAGAGCCATGAGTCTTTCTTGTTCATCCGAGCCAAGGACTGATATAGACAGACATACGAGATATGTGAGTATTCATAAAGTCGTTAGGAAAGTAATAACGACACAGCATTGCTTAAAGCCTGTTGAATAAAGTACAACCATGAAGCAAGTACAACCATGAAGCAAAACAAAGAAAAGAGGCTAACCTCCTGGTCAAGAGACTCAAATTTCCAGACACTTTCTCCCAAGTCATTGATCTCGTTCCACCACCTCAGACCAACGAGTATACGCCCACTCACATTCTTAACCACCCAGAAGTCAAGGGCAGCAAGAAGAACAGTCACTACGAAGATTATCACAAAGCTGTTGAAGAAGAGAGCGGAGAGAATGTAAAACGCCAACGCAGCACCCTGATGATCATACAACAAAATCAAAATTGTTACTATTGTCCACTATCTAACCATTTCTCTGAATACACAAACGGTCAATCAGTTATTCTTCTATTCATACCTTGAAGAGAACATGGAAGAGACATGTCTTTGGATTTGCATAGTTCTCAACTGGTGGCTACATTAAAAGAATTAAAAAATTTGTTAGCCCAAATTATGATTTACGCATTGTCGCAAAAATAAACTATTTTGGGTTAAAATGACTCCTATACTTCTTTTGAATTCCTTCTAACCTAGCTCAAACCTTCCAACTTCTAATGTATAATACCTTCTCCGGAATTTCTCGGAGATCAAAACGAAGAACACACAGATCCAACACAATAATGTCCAGATCGAAAAACTAATGCAATCGAACTCAGAAATTCCCAAAAATCAAAAGGAAATAAGCCGTAAAGGAAGCAGCGAGACATCGGAATCACCTGGTTAGGATCCATCTTTCGAAGTATCCAAACGGATCAATCCGAGAAAAAGGAGAAGAAAACGAGCTGATCAGCTCAAACAAGACACCTCTCCGATGTTGAAAGTACCGATCTTTCCTTCGAGAGACTGAATTTTCCCGAGAAAATTGTTCAGAACCAGATCTCTCTTCAAACTCGTGCGAGTGTGTGCTACGTGATTTCATTTCTTTTTTGTAAATGTTTCTAGTTCTAAATTAGGCCCAATTGAAACTCCTCTATAGTCCAGTAATCTTCGGAGAAATAAGGCCCAATACAAGGACAATGGTTATTTACGATTTCATGACAAAAACTTTCGATAACGATCAGAATCATCCCACTATCCACAAGGAGGCAAAAGAAGATTTATGAAAGAAGAGGACGACAATGGCTGTAAATTATGTGACCGTGAAATGGCTGAGATTAATTGTCTTATCCACAAAAACAAGACTTAATTGATCGGAAGCTACAAGATGATGGGCCCTCACGAACCATACACGCTTCAATTTCAAATAAGAGTTTTTTCTTCAGTAGCTGTTCAGAGAGTGAACCAACCATGGCGAAGATGATGATGTTGCAACAGAGCCAACCTTCTTTCTCTCTCCTTACTTCTTCTCTCTCTGACTTTAATGGCGCCAAGCTCCCTTTACAAGTCCAGGTCTTTTTTCTCTCTTTCTTCTGACGATAATCGTGACCTTTTTCTGGCTTTTGCTTCATCAAAATTCAAAATGTGTCCACTTTATTCGACTTGTTGAGCAATGGATCATTGTGTCTAGATGAAAGAATGTCTGTTTATAAGTCTTGTTGTAGTTAAGTCTTGTTACAGCTCTGGTTTTGTATTTTAGTTAAGCTTATTAGCTTCCTTGTCACAATTGTGAATGTTTTGGGAAACTGCAGTGCAAGAGGAAGGTTCAACAGCCAAAAGGAGCACTTTATGTTTCAGCATCGAGCGAGAAGAAGATTCTGATAATGGGTGGCACTCGATTCATCGGTATCTTCCTGTCCAGGCTCCTTCTCAAAGAAGGACATCAGGTCTCTTCCATAAACCGATCAAACTGTCTTTTCAGCTAAAAGATTTAGTTTCTCTCTTCTCGTTGGCCAATGGATTCATTTTGCAGGTTACATTGTTCACAAGGGGTAAATCTCCTATCGCCAAACAGCTCCCTGGTGAATCTGACCAAGACTTTGCTGATTTTTCTTCCAAGGTATTACCTGATGATTCCTTGTGAAAGAACTATGGTTTCTGATAATCCAAGGAAAACAGAGCATTTGAACAAGATAAAAAATTTATTTTTGGCTTTTGTAGATTCTTCATTTGAAAGGAGACAGAAAGGACTATGACTTTGTGAAGTCAAGTCTTTCAGCAGAAGGCTTCGATGTTGTTTATGATATCAACGGTAACAACTACTATCTATTTGTAGATACTTGTCAATTCAACAGGGAAGTTTTTTACATTTTATGTTTTTTGTTCCCTCTCAGGAAGGGAGGCAGAGGAAGTTGAGCCCATACTAGATGCACTGCCTAAACTAGAGCAGTAAGTTATAGCTTGTTCGTTTGATTTTCAGCTCTCACAAAACAGTCTTTGAAAAATGTAAATGAGGTTTAATGTTTGTAGGTACATCTACTGTTCTTCAGCTGGTGTTTATCTGAAATCTGATATCTTGCCACACTGTGAGGTATGTAAAACATATCTTATCCTTCTTCCTGGAAATTTTGAGCTTGTGATATGTTCAAATGATGTCAATCAGAAGTTTATCAAGTGAGATCACTTTATATTTGGGACGTAACTGATGCAGGTGGATGCAGTGGACCCAAAGAGCAGGCACAAGGGGAAGCTGGAGACAGAGAGCTTACTGCAATCAAAAGGTGTAAACTGGACTTCTATACGTCCTGTCTACATCTACGGTCCATTGAACTACAACCCTGTCGAAGAATGGTTCTTCCACCGTCTCAAAGCCGGTCGCCCTATCCCAGTTCCAAACTCTGGCATCCAAATCTCACAACTTGGTCACGTCAAGGTCACACACTCTTACTTTCTCTAATGTTCTTAAGCGATCGCTTTCATGTTCAGAGAACTCAAACTCAGCATTCTTCATTTCTCTCTGAGTTCTTTTGAAGAGTAGTGATCAATAATAACATCAAATGGTTCTGTTATTACAGGACTTGGCCACAGCCTTTCTTGCTGTTCTTGGTAACGAGAAAGCCAGCAGAGAGATATTCAACATCTCTGGAGATAAATACGTCACCTTTGATGGATTAGCTAGAGCTTGCGCAAAGGTACATACTTGTCTATCCTCTCATTGATCCAAAACGTTTCAAGTACATATCGAGTTGCAAGTGACGTAAACTTGTGATGTTTTCCAACTCTTGCAGGCTGGTGGGTTTCCAGAGCCAGAGATTGTTCACTACAACCCGAAAGAGTTCGACTTTGGGAAGAAGAAGGCGTTCCCTTTCCGTGACCAGGTATCCCAACATTCAAGTGACTTAAGGCTGCTGCAACATGAAAGAATCCAGTTTTGATATGTGTATGATCATTTTTGCAGCATTTCTTTGCGTCGGTGGAGAAAGCAAAGCATGTTCTTGGGTGGAAACCAGAGTTCGACTTGGTGGAAGGTCTCACTGACTCATACAACCTTGATTTCGGTCGCGGAACTTTCAGGAAAGAGGCAGATTTCACCACTGACGACATGATTCTAAGCAAGAAACTTGTTCTTCAATCCTAAGAACTTGGCTCATATATATAAAAAGAAAACAAATTCTTGGCTTGTATGGTTGTGTGATCTCTCACTGAAGAAGATTCTCAAGTTTATTGTCGTCTCAAGTACATTTTGGTTCTGATGCTTTTCGATTTTGTTAAAGATAACACTTTGTGAAGAATAAAAAAAGAGGAGGCTTTTTGCTCTTGAAGATTACTAAGGAACTTGGGAAAGGAGGGACTGTAAACTTTTGCTTAGTTATAGATTTACTTGAAATAATACAATTAAACGAACAAAATCTGAACCAAAATACTGTAACTGAATTTACAGAACGCCAGAATAAAAACTGGAAGAAATTTAGACTATTCAAAAGTGAGCAAGATTAATTTCCGACACATTTTTCATATACCAAAAGAAAATGTAATAATTATAAACAAGTTGCCGCATGACAACAAATGCTATTTCTTTTCTGGAGAAAAAGAAAAAGGAAATTTGATTTTTCTTATCATGCAAGAATAGAATTAAATTTCTATAAATTTGTGGATATGAAGACATCAAGAACAAGTCAAGAATATGGAAAGCATTCAACAAGAAAACTCAAACTTGAACACATGCAAGAAAATTATGATGATAACGAACTACATGGTCCCAAACTAGTCTAGGCTAGATATTTAAGTCGTGTATGAGAAGGACACATTAATGGAAGTTACAAACTCAGACACAAGACATATGCATGTAACACATACGCAGAGCCAACCCAACGATGAAATTAAAAGACTTGGTGTGTTTCCCAGGAGGTTTTCAAGAGAGTAGTCAATATTACGTTTTCCAGAAATTCATAATGATCAAGAAGTCGCCAATATTGTTTAATTATTCGTTTACAAACTTTTCTTGTTCATCAAATTGATCAAGAAGACGCAGTAATGCAAACGTAATATAACACGCATGATCAATTTTTTGTGATCTTAATCTTTTACTTGGTTGCCGCGCAGTGCAACTGCAATGTTTACTAAGATTTTCTTAAATAAATGATCACATACATAACTGCAATTTTGTTGTACAACCGCGACAAAACGGTCACTATAAACACTATTAGCGATAACTGATAACAATGACCGGAAAACTCTTGATTCAACGTAAATTTATGTGTTGGACCAAAACTTACAAACTACAATAATGGGGGGTCATGGTGTTTTTGGCAAGGAGACGTTTGGCCACTGCAAGTCTCCATCTTGTGAAAGAGTCTTGCAGAATTCTTGCGTAATTTTGATTCCAAATTATTATTCTACCATAATGTACCAGTCAATTTATTTATTTTTTCCGCACAGGAAGGATTTATTTAAAGTCGTAGCTCCAGAATACATATGTCGGTACGTCTTTGTCTTTCCGAGTATGTCGGTACGTCAAGATTTTACATTTACAGCATTACTTTTATATTAAAACTCAATTTCATAAATAAATCTACGTAACAGATAACTCTATTCTTCAAGATTCTTAGCTGTTAATGGTTTTTCCGGCTATACAATTATATAGCTTTCTTGTATAATCAATTCTTCGAGAGCATTGTTCTTTGAACTGGTATAACAAAAAAAGATATATTGTTACACACAAAAAGGGTATTATTATATTATTACAGGTTGTAATAGCACCATGAAGTATTTTTCGAGCAAAAATAGGTAATTTTGTGTCATTATGTCAGGGCAACATTTGTGATGAAATCTTATAACCAATTAATCATGATCCTTCGTAAATCGTAAACAAAAGTCTAGCAATCGTAAACATTGCATAAACTTGTTTATATAAAGAAGTATAATCCAATGTGTGGATGACAAGAAATTACTTGATGCAATCTTACAGTAAAAATAAAAAATTACAACGAGCAGAGCATTCGAATAATAACAGCCAATCAATGCGTCTTCATGGGCTCCGTTTGTAGCCACGTGGCATTATCACCGCCTTGTAAAAATCAAGAGAGAGACGCTTCAACCAATCACAGTTTTCTTGAAACGACGGGGTAATATCTTAAGTGGACCCCACCTAACTACTTTAGGCAGCCAAGAGTATCGCCATGTCATCCTTTTTTAATCGGATGGTCCCACTCATTCGAATTAATATCAACTCGTTGGATATAGCGGTCAAGTGTATAGCCGTCAGATTAAAAATCTCTTCTTCCATTGGATCCTACATCTCTGGATAATTAACATTTAATTAGTTTAGCCATAATCACTGCCTAAATCCTATAAATAGCCTTTGGTTCTCACTTCTCACTCAACAATCACTCATCAACTCAAAGGTATCACAATTCACAAACAAAGAAAAAAGAGCTTATCTCTTCTCGGACAAGATGGCACCTGAGATCAACACCAAGTTCAGCTACGACGGAGGAAAGAAGAGAGCGTACGTGACGTTCCTCGCCGGGAACGGAGACTACGTGAAAGGAGTGGTTGGTCTTGCCAAAGGCCTAAGGAAAGCTAAGAGCATGTACCCATTAGTGGTTGCTTGTTTACCGGACGTGCCGATGGATCACCGGAGGCAGCTGTTGGAGCAAGACTGCATCGTGAAGGAGATCCAGCCGGTTTGCCCGCCGGAGAACCAAACTCAGTTCGCCATGGCTTACTACGTCCTCAACTACTCCAAGCTCCGTATCTGGAAGGTATAACATATATACATGATATGAAGCCAAAACTACCAAATTTCACATTTATTTGCAATGAAACAAAGTAAAAATGAACAAAAAATATCAAGAACATATTTTAGTTATTTATTTTTAAATACCCCTTTTATGATTGTCACTTTATTTTTCACAAATACTAAACAAATTTTTTGGCTACTTGGCTTTTAAAGGATTTTTTTTTTTTTTTTTTACCGTTTTATGCTAATATAATTATGTGGATGCAGTTGGTAGAGTACAGCAAGATGATATACTTAGATGGGGACATACAAGTGTTTGAGAACATAGATCATTTGTTCGATCTTCCCGACGGCAACTTCTACGCCGTTAAAGACTGTTTCTGCGAGAAGACATGGAGTCACACTCCTCAGTACAAGATTGGCTACTGCCAGCAATGCCCGGACAAGGTGACATGGCCCGAGCCGAAGCTTGGTCCCAAGCCACCGTTGTACTTCAACGCAGGGATGTTCGTCTACGAGCCAAGCCTCGCCACTTATTACAGCCTTTTGGAGACTCTCAAAGTTGTCTCTCCAACACCTTTTGCTGAACAGGTAAAACAAAATCTACACATATTGTATGATTCTATAGTTATAAGAGTCCTCAAGGCTAAATATGTTTTTCATTGTTAGATTAAATTGATTTGTGTGTTTTTACAGGATTTCTTGAACATGTACTTCAAAGATATATACAAGCCGATTCCACCAGTATATAATCTTGTCTTGGCCATGCTCTGGAGGCATCCAGAGAACATAGAGCTTAACAAAGCCAAGGTTGTCCATTACTGTGCAGCTGGTTCCAAGCCTTGGAGGTATAAGATCTAATTAACATCTTGTTCATTTCAAAAACGTCAAAAAGGTAAAGATCTAAAACTGCTTCTCTTTAATTTGTATCAGGTTCACAGGCCAAGAAGAGAACATGCAGAGAGAAGACATCAAGATGCTTGTAGAGAAGTGGAGGGACATTTACAACGACGAGTATCTTGACTACAAGAACGTTAATGTGCGTTACGGACAAGAAGAAGAAGAGGTTCACAGCAAACAGGAAACCACCCTTCCACAGTTCTATACAGATTTGTCTAAAGCTGGTGTGCTTCATTGCCCCAAAGCTCCATCCGCGGCCTAAACCACCATGTGAGGGCTGAGATAGGTATTGGTAATATATCTAGTGGCTTAAAGTCTGAAACTAATGATGTTTCTTTTATCATAAAACACTGTGTTTTGCTGTTTTCTTTTCACTGGATTTAGGGGAGTTTTTAATCCCCAATCCCTCTTTTTTACATTATATGTTTGCTATTTAAGGACATTTCTCTCTAAATTACATTCCTCAGATATATATAGTTTGGTGTTCAGTTCCCAACAATTTATCTTCTTTTTCATACCCGAAAGATCTCAAATTGAAACCAGTTAATACATCTAAAGCAGTCAACGATCGGTCCATAACTCAAATCGCGGTGAAATACTTGGATCTTATTAGTCCCTCAACTCCCTCAACTCAATCATGCGCGCATACGTAATTTATCAAATTACATTAAAATATTGTTTCAAACATCTCCAGCCCTCAGGATTCCTTATTAACCAGAAACCCATTCTGGTTATTGTTCTTGAATTAAGATCAAGAAATATACGAACTAAACCGCCGTTTTAGTAAAAATCACTAAATTACCTCTATGGAAAGCAGCAGTATTAGTTTGACAATACATGTTGAAAGCAGCAGTAGTTTAAGTATAGTTAGAAACCAATTTTGATATCATCATATATACTAAAAGTCTAAAAGAGAAGTCATCAGAAATAAACCATTACAAATTAATATCCAATAACATGTTCCCAAGTCACATTTTCCAACTAATTGTGTCAAATTTTAATTACTTTACTATCATATATACTAAAAGATAAGTTATGAGAAAGAATGTTACAACTTAATATATTACATGTTCCACATCACTTCTTTCAATTAAACTTTCCAAAATTAGATCAATATTTTTTAAGAAAAGCAAATCATCATCATCATCATCAGCATATACGTTTTTCTAAAATATAAGTATTTTACTTAATATACAAGATAAACTATGGATAATTGTTTCAAATCAAAATAGGATCCAATCTTGACATCATCTTCTAATTTGCTTTAATGAATTTATTTCAATGGTATAAACAGGATATATATAAACTGGTAGATTTAGAAAATAGTAAGTTGGTAAATGAAACAACAAATATTATCCAAAAGTTATAGATAATCAATCAAAAATATCTAGATTTAGGTTATAGTTTTGTTTGGCAAGTTCTTCATTTTCCTACACAATTGACTCAATAATTTTGGAACACTAATTAACAAACTATGAAACTGCTAAGCTCACACAAGTATTTATATATGTTCATTTCGCAATCTATGCAACAAAATATTGGAATTCAAAAAAATGAAATTCCTGCGCCACGTTTTTGTTATGGCCGCTCTTGCTCTTTACATATTGATCCCTCGCATCGAAGCAGTCAAAGCCGATGGACCGACACAAGAACTGATCAATAGTATATGTATTGAAAGCGAAGATTATGAACTTTGCAATAAAATCATCCACAAAAACTTGAAGGCACCAGCGACTAATCTCAAAGATCTCACCTACATCATATTCAGCATCGCTATCGAACACGCCAGTGATACCTATATTTTCATCGGTAACATCTTGCGTGAACTAACTGACCATGAGGAGAGGGTTGGTTTCAATATTTGTCTAAATGTTTACAGTGAAGAAACCGCTATTTTCTTAGATGTACGCAATGAGTTTCGTCACAAGGATTATGAACGTATGATTCTAGACATTTCGTCCACAATCGAGATCTTGAAAAATTGTAGGGTCGATTTCGGTATTCCTCCTTACATGGAGAATCCGTTGATTGAGAAGAACAGAGTGATGAAAATCTTGATCAACATGTCTACTGTTTCGGGACGTATGGTCAAAAACGGAAATGCCTCTTTGCTTAGCTCACTAGTTTCCGGGCTTGATTCTTTTTTCTTTCAATATTTAACTAATTAAGTATAACATTGATAAAAAGTCTGTAACAAATAAAGCTTATGAAAAATAAATAAATAAAGTTAACATAAGAACCATGTCATTTGTTTCCTGGATTTTTTTAATAATTGTTCCAAAAATCATAAGTAAAGTCAAACAAGGAATCACTTTTGAAAAATGATAAAACGAGCAATAAAAAGTTAAAAGTGTGACCAAATCGATAATGTTGATTTTCTTTTCATGGAAATATATCGTATAGCAAGATATCAATTCACAAATGCTGACAAAGAAATGAAGAATTTTGGTAACATAGCTAATATAGTATACCCCAAAAAAAAAAGGATTTGACTGTTGACTCATTTTCATTCATATGCCTAAACTTTCAACAATAAAGAAATGAACGAATTCTTTTTTTTTTGTTAAAAGGATCAAGAAATCAACGAATTCATTCTCAAATCCACACACAAAAAACATGGAATATTATCGGATTCTATTGTCATTTTCGGCGATTGCACTCGTTTGCTCCGTCGCAGAAGCAACTCCTCTTGATGGGAATACTCTAAAAACAGTCAACGGAATCTGCAAACAGACCGCGGACACCAAATTCTGCACAAGGGTCTTTTCCAACAACCTGGTGACTTCTTCCCCACGCAAGAAAGATCTCGTGAACGCTACAGTGACAGAAGCTGCAAAACACTCGGCCACCACTTATTTCTTCATCAGCACACTCCTCAGAAATGCTGGAGACGAGAGGACCAATCTGCAGATGTGCGCTGAAGCTTACGCCATTGTCAACACGGCGTTCACGAATGCTATCTCTTTCTGCAATCAAGGAGAATACAGTAAGATCCTCAATCTCCAAGGGCAGGTTTATGATGGTGTTGGTATCTGTAAGACAGATTTTATTGTCCCCGGTTATGAGATCAATCCCTTGATTGAGAAAAACAGACAGACGATTGTCTTAGTGTCCATGCAAAAGATTGTTTCTTCATAATATGATTGTTGCTACTTAATATTTGAAGCAATTATGTTTCATAAATATCCTGATTAATAATTGGTTCATAAGCTTCTTAATTGAAATTCTCTTTTAGTTTGGCATTTATGTTCTTGCTGAGGTTGATTTTTGATAAAGATAATTACTTGTGATATAATGTTTAAGTGTTTATCTTAATTTGCAATTTTGTCATAAGATTTTTGTTCTTACTCTTTTGTGGATTTTCTCGCTAAATCAACCGGTCAAATATCTTAAATATGCTACCAAAAAAAATTTCTCGTGAGATTCAAAAAAATCGACACTAGTCCAACGTTTATGAAAGCAACCTATTTGTTTTTATTTTATTTCGTTTTGATGAGGATAGTTCAAATAGATTCTTAGACAAAACCAGCAATTGAAACGCATGACGATCCAAGATCATAAGCAATGGGATCGATGAACAGTCTAATAAAACACAAATTTAAAATTCAATCACGGGCCTCAAAATGAGATACAAATTGAAACATTCGGAAAATGGATAGCCAAAATAGTTGCAATAACTTATACAGCACGAAATCCCAAAACAACACAAAATCCCAAAAGGGCATAAGCTCATAATTATATGAGGAAGAAGCATCAACGTTTTAAGGCGATATAGCTCTCGTGCAACCACTGCAACTAGCTTCTCCTGCTGCTGCTGCTCCTCCTCCTCCTCCGGCCGACAATCTCGATTCAATATCTTCATTTGTATCACTTTTGACTGTGTGTGGCTGTTTCACCTTCATTTGGATCTCTTCTCCGACTTCCTTCTCATTCATCTCTCTGTCTTTCCCCCACAAAACGCCGTACAGCCCAATAACCACAAGTGCTGATCCCATAAACCTAAAATTTACATAAATCATCAAATTCAGTATCATCATGTTTCATATAATGTTTATATAGAGGAAGAGCGTAGAAACATACGTTCCGGTGTAGAGTTTCTCTTCAAGAAAAGTCCAGCTGAAAACGGCGACGACTACTAGCAGTAAAGGGCTGAAAACAGAGACGTAAAGAGGACCTTTCATCTGTATCGCCCATGACATTAAGCAGAACGCTAACGCAGACGCCACCACTCCCTGTATCCGCGTTTTAAACATTAATTATCAATATGCGTATTTAGCGTAACTGTTACGTAATCTACATATATACATGTATATGGACTTACGGCGTAAAGGGCGGATATGAGGCGGAGAGGAGAGGTAAGAGACCAGTCAGAGAGTTTGTGATCGGAGATCAAAGCGATGCCTCCACATTGAATACTTCCCATCAAACACATTAGAAGTGTGCTCGTGTATGGTGCTGCAAATGTTTCACTCATCTTCGTCTGTAACCAAAATATTTTTTTTTAAAACATTAATAAACCATAAAGTCTGCATACACTATGATATGAATTTTGACTAAATTATTTCAACCTTATAAACCAACATAAATCAATCTATGTTTTGGTTCCGATTTTTCAATATTTGTTTTTAAGCATTAAATTGTCACCTGAATAATGAACCAAACGGCCCAAGAAACGGCAGCAGCCATGATTAGGAAAGGTCCCAATAAGAAGTTAGAACCGGTGGAATTGGGACCCTGGCTCGCGATGTTTTCAGCATAGGCCCAATGGATCTTGGACTCTCCAATGCCGATGGTGTGACCATGGTAGAAGGAGAGAACCATGGCTCCGGCCACACATACTACTGTCCCTATCACTTTGGCTTGTCCTGATGCCTTTTTGATCCCTACGGCTTCTTGTCTGAAAAAAAAAAGTTGTGTCAAACAATTTTGCTTGATGGAAACTTTATCGAGAGTAATTTCATATACATATACAAAACCTGAAGATTGCGGCAAGGAGAAATGTGACCGCCGGTAAGAGATTAGTCAAAGCACAAGCAATGGTCGGAGATGAATTCTGAAGTCCTATGAAGTATAGCACTTGGTTTCCAGTCACACTGCGGAGAAAATCAAGAGAAATCGTTACAAACACACATTTTTCTTCTCTTGTTTTTGTTAAACAATGTTTTTCCCGGTAGGAGCTCATAAAGATGGACTTGATTAAAATAAGCCTCAATAGATTTTAAAAAATGAGACTGCAGTTACTAGGCAAATTAAAGTGTATGTAGATACCCGGTGATGGAGCAGAGGAAGGCTTGCATAAGAACCCTTAGTGTGATCTTGGGTCTTGTCTTGCTGCACAAGAAACCATGTATTAATATTAATGTTTTTATTACTTACTAATGAGTTCACCAAGTGGGACCAGCTGGTTGATTCATTTAACCTTGAACTTGAACATGAGATGAAAAACGTGATTTTAACCCCCACCCCCACATCCACCAAGTGGGACCGACCAATTGCCTCAGGAGAAAATGAGGAATTTTTTGGTAAAGAACAAGAAAAAATGTATGTTTGAGCAAAGTATTTTTAAAGAAAATTGTACACTGATACTATAAAATAATAAACTAAAATAAAAATTTCAAAACCTTATTATAAAGACAGTCGAATTCACTTCTCAATCCTAAAACAACAGAGGAAAAGTATGCAAATATGAAGTGGATGGAGTAAGAGCAATATTATAAGATGACACTCGACGACGCTTAACTCTTCTAAGATCATGTTTTGTGTTGTCTATTTGTGTTTCGGTTATAAGAAAGAAACGTGACGCATGGATTGTGTGAGACTGCATCACATTTCTCGTTTCTTTCTCTCGTAAAGCGGAATTAATTAATGATGATGCAATCACGTATAATTCGACAAATGATATGATGATTGTCCAAACTAGATGACCGAACTCTAATAATAACTGTAAATACTAAATTCACGAACAAAAGTATACACATGACATGATCAAAAAGAAACGAAAATAAAAACAAAGCCAGTGTAGACAAAGTTATTCATTTGGAGAAAGCAAGTAAGTAACTAACCAATCGGTCACGCTTTCTTACTACTTTTTGTTTTCTTCACAACTCATTCAAACAAATTCTCAAATAATTACTCACTAAGAAATCTATAACTTTGCCATAATATACGTATTTTTCATCGGAATCTCCGGACAATAAAACGATGCCGTGCTAAACTCTTCTTAAGTACTATTTTAATCATTTTAATTTTCCTCCCGATGGAAATTAATTCGTTGCCAAACATTTAAATATATAAAATTAATTTATTTAAATCCAGTCAAACTAATACTAGAAATTAAGTTATTAACATAAATAATAAGAAATTCTTGACCAAGAAAAAAAAAACTTAAATGTAAGAGATACATTTATTTTACATATGCCAAATTAATTAAAGGGCCCTTGATTAAAAGTTTTGTTGTGTGAAACGTTGGAGTGTAATTAATTTATAAGTTGATGCAAGCCAAAAAGCCTAGGAGGTACAATCGTTCTACAGTGTAGTCACGAAGCCATTTAGTAATGACTAATATTTTGAAAAAAAAAAAAGTAATGACTAATGAAATGATTTCTGTATTTGTTACTAACTTACTATATAGTTAGTTATATACACAATCACCCATTTTGGCGTTTTATATTTGATGGATGACGCCATTGTTTTGTACTTTATCAGTAAACGTACGACGAAGTTGACATAACACTTAAAGCTATTAATTAACTTCACCCAAAAACAATACTAAAAGGAAAATTATCCGATGGAATTGGCAATCAAGTATCGTTTGCTAATCTTTCAAAATCATCGACTCAAGAAACGTATAAGAAAACCTTATTTTATTTGGAACTCAAAATATTAATGGAACTAAACTTATTTTACGATGATGTTATTTTCAGAAACAGCACAAAATTTAACGTTCTATCGATGCGGAGTTGTGTTAATCATAGTATAACCATGCATGTCCAAAATGATTAGTATGATTTCGTACCGTTCCAGAAAAAACGCGACCGGAAAAGTGGCGATAGTGGCGAAGATTTGGCGATAAGCTACGAGAATGAGAGGCTTCATGCCGGATTCCATAGCCATCTTCGACGTAATGTTCATGCCTGCGTAGCCGACTTGCACCAACACCATCGCTAAGGACGGCAACAAATCTCCTGATCTCACCATCTTTCTCTTTTATTTTATTTTTGCAACTTTTCTATGTATATATATGTATGTTCCTCTCACTAGAGAGAGCAAGAAAAAAAAAAAGAGAGAGGTGGGTTCTTTATAACATTTATTAGTTTTCCCCAAATCTATCTTTCTTTCGGCTCTACCATATATATTTATAGCCCAAGATATATATGTATATATATAGAGAGGGAGATAGGGAGAGAGAAAATGGAAGAGAGAGATGGAGAGAGAGAGAGAGATGTTTTTAAACAGAAAGGTGAGAAACGGTTCGAGAATGAAGTTTGCTTGTATCAGTTGTGCTCTCCTATAGGGCATAGGCACACGAAACAATAGATGGTATGTATCATTTGATATTTTTGGCAATTGATTTAACCTTACTCCTGGGTGATTATTACATCTATAATCCATTTTGGCGTTTTGTTATAAAAATATTTAACTTATTATAGTTTTCCTCTTTTTAATCCTTTTTTGGTTTCCGTTTTATCATGGGTTTGGTGGAGCTTGTGAATGGATGGAAGGAGCACGCATGCATGAATTTCTCTCACAGTCTTCAAGCAATCAATTTTCCCTTTTTCTATTAAACTCGTTTCTGTAATTTTCATCTAATTAAGGGTTTGGTTTATCGCTTGATTGACCACATCAAATTGGTATCATCTCAAGTATTTTGAATTGATTTTCACAAATCAACTTTTACATTTAATTTTTATATTTTGGTATAGCTATAAAAACTGTAATATGGTAATTATATCCCGAAATATTGGAAAATGGACACGAGTTTATTCTGGTATAAATTTTGACATGCATCTTACGCGGCCTAAAGATAACTAGGTAAGTATCCCGTTCTCTATATGCAAGTTATATGCATCTTAAATTTGTTGGTATTTGACCGATAATATAATATTTAAAATATGATGTGGAATTAAATGCAGTACAAT